AGGAGGAGCTATGTGTCGGCTTTAACGGCGATTTTGACACGTGCCAGCGCGAGAGTAAAGATTGCCTCGACAAGCTCGGCGATCAGGCGGACTGGTTTACGCTGTTCGATTGTCTCCAGGCCCGCCGTCCCTCCGCGTCAAGTAGCGCCGCTCCTGCTGCTGCTGCTACTCCTACCACTACGCCTCAGGATAAGCCCGCGCCGCCTCAGAACAGCAGCGTCATCAACAACAACAACAACAACAACAACAACAACAAGGCTACCGCGAACAAGGCTGACATCCGCGTCGACACCAATCGCGACGGCATCGTCGACGTCGACGGCACCTCGGATCAGGCCGGCAAGGACACCTGGACCGACGCCGCCGGCGCCATCTTCCTGCCCAACGTTGCCGACTCGGGCGACCGCTGCAAGAAGCTGCACGCCGACTTGCAGCTGCCGAAGCAGCTCGCAACTTTGTACGATACGCTCGCCAAGTGCCACGACGCCGCCGACGGCGAGCAGCGCGCGCCGCAGAACCTGGCCCCCATGCGCACTGTGCCCATGACAGGCCTGAGCGACTCTGCCACCGGCACCATCAGCGTCGCCGACGAAAAGTCACGCGCGCTCGTCCGCGTCTTCCGCCAGAGCAAGGACGGCAAGTGGGAGATTGTCAATAATGACACCGTCTTCACCGCGCAGGACCTCAGGGACGGCCTCACGCTCGGCGTGGATGCCCGCGACACGCGCCGCCCGGACTGGGACGGCCGCGTCAAGGTCGACTTCAGCGTCGGCGACGGCCAGAACGAGTCCAAGGACACCGTCATGCTGCGCGTCGCGCCCGTGCTCCTCCAGCACCACCGCCAGGCTGTCAACGAGGTCTTGACGTCGGGCCTTCCCAAGGCTACAGGCGATTTCAAGGCGTACCTCGACAAAATCATGTCCGGCATCCAGTCCAGCATGAAGGCCGCCGGCATCACCGGCCCCTTGACCCGCCTGCCCAACAACGACGCCTGGGCGCAGGACTACTTTGAGCCCGCGTACGCCAGCATGCCGGGCCCCAACAAGACCGTCGTCGCGCTGCGAGTCATCATCGAGGGCCGCCACGACCCGCGCCTCAACTCGACCAGCATCATCTACACAACGCTCCGCGGCGACGGCGTCGGCGCCGTCGCCCAGCAGCTGCCGCGCCAGGCCAACCTCGAAAAGCGCAGCTCCGACTTTGACGCCGGCGGAAACCTCGAGAGCATCCCGCCGTACGAGCTCAACGGGAAAAAGTACCCCGCTGGTCGCATCATTGTCGGCGGCGACAGTCAGCGCCTGCCCGTCGGCATGGATTTCTTCAAGGCCCAGGAGGTCCAGGCCCCGCTCGTGCTCGACTCGACTTGGCTTGCGGTCAAGCACGTCAACGAGATGGTGCAGGCTGTGCCCGCCAAAACGCCGCGCGGCTGGGCCATCATGGCCATCGACCCGGAGATGGGCCTGAAGATGCTGCGCGACGCCGAGGCGGCCGGCCACGGCGACCAGAGCGTCACCGGACGCCAGCGCACCGGCCCGACCATTGCGCAGTTCCTCAGCACAGAGTCCAACATGGTCGCCGCCGAGGTCGCCGCCAAGGCCATGGCCGCCAACATCGAGATGCTCAAGAAGGAGACGGGCCTTAGCGACGCCGAGATCCACCGCGTCCCCGCCCTCATCAGCCTCTTCGACCTCAGCCAAAAGTACGTTCACAGATCCAGTCGCCGCCGCGGCATCAGCAGCCGCGACGAGTCCGCCGAGGCCGCCCTCGACCAGGAGTTCATGGACAACTTCCCCTCGCACTTGCTCGACGACGACGACGACGACGACGAGGTCGCGCCCAACAACACCACCGAGCAGCGTCGCCGGGCCGCTGCCACCAAGCCTCCCCGCTACAGTTCCGTCCTGCCCAGCCTTGTCAACGGCGTGCCCTTGTCCGACTCGCACTACCTGGCCCCCCAGCCCTTTGGCACCATCATTGACCGCAAGTACATATTTCAGGAAGCCGCCACCGCCGCCTTCAAAAAGGCGGGCTTCACCACTGTTGATTACCTGGAGGAGTGGAGAATTCACTCCGCTTTTGGCGACTTGCACTGCATGAGCAACACGTTTCGCGATATTTCTGAACCTTGGTGGTAAAAAAAAAAAAAAAAATGGCGGAATGTCGTCACAGGTCTTTGTGGCCCATGTAAATGCTTCCTACCAGTTTGTCTGCTTTGGCGCAGTAGAGCCGGCGCGCATACTGGACCCCTGATGGGACTTGAACAACTATCAATAGCATAACACTGATTTCAGTGCTTTACCGGTAGTAATAAATGATGAAGACTGTTTCAACCACTAATAATACTAGCAACAGTGAACCTAGAGTGTTGAGTCTTATCGCCCGACTCTTTTTGTTTGTAGTAGTGCGAGTGAGGATTCTGCGACGACACATTCGGCTTTTATTATTCTACCAGAAAAGCCTCGGCATGATATCACGCCAGTACGTCTCAATGAGTAGCCAAGGATCCATTCAAAAATCAACTTTTTGTAGGAGCAAACCTAATCGTTGGTCCAAAGTTTTCCCCGCCATTGTCCTCTGATGCTTGGCCGTTTCTCTCTGCCAGTAGTTTGAATGCAACTCCAAGTTTGGTCCCCTGGAAACGGCCCCGAGTGCAGGCGGGGTTTAAGACGGTGGACTACATAACTAGTCGCGGAGCACGGTTTCTAGCCAACAAGTGAGCTTTGCTGCATACAGCAAAAAAAGTAAAACAGATGTAAATTTCAAGATTAGCTCATCAATATACGCATGGTTGAAGCCTAGACAGGGGGGGGGGGGGGGGTTCCACGGACGAAATTTATGCGCTGCGCCAGTCATAATGGCCAATGTATCCCCCGTACTCAGCACAAAGCAAGTGGCTATTGAGGTTGGTTTTTTTTTTNTTTTTTTTTTTTTTTTTCCAAACGCCTACAATGTGATGGACAGCAACTTTGTTCTTGTTGATATAGGAGCTATATCTTATCATGCATCAATGCCCCTGCCAAAGGACAAGATCAGGCTGCCCCCTCGGCTTGACTCGCCCGTGACACTGGGTAATTACGGCATAGTTGAACTGGTGGGGAGCAGCCGGCAGCAGGGATAGTGCTTGTTTTGATGCTTGCTGATTACGGATACAATACGCGATGGAGGCATATCAAGGATATCAGCACGGTAAAGAAGCTGGGAGTTGTGTCAAATGACATTTTACAAAATTGTTCAATAATTATGCCAGCACCTTCTTCAATGGCTCACTGTTCCTCTCAGCTGCCGAGGCAACATCCTTGCTTCCCATCACATGGAAACGTGGCGCTGTTTGGGGGTGTGCCGCTACTGCAGGCCATGATATAAAGACGGAGTATGGGGTTTGCCGCCCTTGCCTTGATGCCGTTGCTAGTGATAATTCCTTGTGCCTGTAGTTGGTCGCTCTCATCCCTCTCCTTGCCCCTCGCCCTAATAACGGGGACGTATTTTGCATCCGTATAGAAAAGCGCGGGCTTTTTTTTTTTCCATATCGAAACACGCCACAAAACGGATAGTGAGAAACGGAACCAGACTGATATAACTCGACGACATGCGCAGCGAGCGACGGGGTTGTACGGTGCCGGCTGGGCCATCATGTCTGCAGCACTTTTGACCGCGACGACAGTGTGGCTACAGTAGATAATGAAGTGATTGCCGGGTATTGTTGAGCGACTCGGTCGAGGCGTTTCCAACTTGGAGCTTTGGCGTTGCCAGGTATGCGATTTCTTTATCTGCATCAATCAGCGTGATTAATATCATACCCTCGTATTTTCATATTCTTGTACATGTTGAATGGCGGGTATAATTGTCTATACATCGCCCTGTTCTATAATAAAAAGATTCTATAATTAGGATATCGCAAAGTGGCGCCTCTATTCCATTCCGCATTACTTTCTCGTTCTCCTTCCGATCCTTAGTACACAGCAATGGCACCGTTGGTGCCGCCGTCAAAGGTATCATGCAGCGACTCGAGCTCCTGAACGTGATGCGCCGTCTCCATGCCCTGGCGCCGCGACGCCTCGACGCGCTGCCACGTCCACTCGCCGTCGGCCTCGAGATCAACGCGGCTCAGATCCACCGACTCGTCGCCGAGCTGGTTCTCGCCACTCACCCAGCCGCCGGGACGCGGCGGCAGCAGCCCGCTCGCCTCAAATACGACGGCCGGATGGACCGTCAGACGGCCGAGCTTGAAGACGTACTTGCTAATGGCCGTGGCGTGGATCTTGGTCTCCCAGCCGCCCGAGGCGTCGGTGCCGCGGCGCACGCGATAGCCCGCAAAGCCCGGATCCAGCCACTCAGTCGGCCTAGCGACGCCCGTGGGCACGAAGTGCGTGACAATGTACGCCCACTTGCGGTCCCAGCAGAGGATGCGGCTCCACATCTCGTAGGAGCGGTAGGCGCCAATCTCGCGCTTGAAGCTGCACGAGACGGAGCCGAGCATGATGCCGAGGGTGCCGGCGGCGGCGCGGCCCGTCGTAGGGTCGAGCACGATCTGGAGGCGCGGGTTGGACGAGAGCTTGGCGAGGCCGGCGCGGCAGAGGTACGAGACGAGCTGCGTGCGGGACGAGTCGAGGTCGGCAAAGTAGGTCGAGTTGGACTTGTGCAGGTTGTAGTCAATCTCGAGGAGCGGCGCGCGGGTGCGCGTGATGATGTGGCGGTAGAGCGCGCGGGGGCCGAGCTCGGGCGCCGGACGAATGACGTTGTGGTGGATGATGGGGTAAAAGATGCGGTACTAGAGACGGTTTGTTAGAGGATTGATTGGGTCGAAGCTGTAAATCCGTGAAATAATGGGACACTTACTGTCCATACAAAGGGCATATTCTTCATGTTGAAGAGGACAAAGACGAGCAGCAGGACGCGCGACGTCCGCCCGGGGCCGGTGAGAAACGTGCGAACGGCCGTTTTCCAGTCGATGCGCGAGGCAGCGTAGCCCGCGGATCCGAGGACCAGCGGCACGCCGACGCGCACTATGACCTTGAAGGACATTTTTGGTTTTTTTTTTGTTCCCTGTGTAGATTCGATGCGATGCGACAATGTGCGCGCTACCTAGGCGGCGAGGGCTTTTGGGGGGGAGGTGGTTGTTTGGTGGTGGACGCGTTGAGTGATTGCGCCGCGTAGGGAGACGAGAGGATGACGAGGACCAAGCGCCGCGGCCCAGAGAAGCAGCGTTTGAGAGTGGCAGAGGATGGTTGTAGCGACACACTGGCGCATTCATAGACAAAGAAAATTAGGAAGGAATCATGAGAAAAGAAAATCAAGAAGGGAAAAAGAATGGTGCGAGAAGAAGTTAGATGACGAAATTCAACTCCTTGGTGTCAAGGGACACGGGAATTTACGAAATGCGATAGATTAAAAATCGTCTGTGCCTGGGCCGAGGTACTTGCCTACCTACCTAACTATTCTAGCGGTCCGATACGCTTCCCGTCGCACCGTGGGCGTCGCGGCTTATTTTTGTTGGGACGAGCATGGTCCATTGAGATGACTCTGTCAACCTCGTTGAAAATTCGCTACTTTCTCGAGTATTGGCCGAATGAGAAACCTCCTCCTCCATCATTGCCACCTCTTTGAAAAGGAAAAAAAAACCGGCATGTTCTGCGTGGTTTGGCGTCCCACAACCACCCGCGAACGACTTTCTCAAGCAACCTCCCTACAGGCCCATCTAGTTAGTAACATTCTACAGCGCCCTTTCTAGCTCCTCCATGTCCCCCAAGACACCCCTTCCACTTTACCCACTCCGCCTCGCCGCCCGGCAGTCCTCCTGCGAGCGGCAACCCCGTGCCGCCCATCCGCGTCCCCCGAACCCCCGCGCAGGCGACTAATGGCCTCCTTGATGCCCCGGGAATGCCGTTCCGCACAATGAGCTCTTCCCATGCAGCTTCACGCGGTACTGCAGCAGCGGCCCGCTCCACGCGCTCTCCGCCTCTGACAATTGCCTTCCCCCGTCTGCTTTCTTGGACAGCGCAAAACAACCGCACCAGCGACTTGGGGAAGAAGTCGGCGGAGCCGTCAAATGGCGCCGGCGCAGCCCACGCTCACCACGGGCAGCAGCTGCTGGCCCAGCCCGGTAAAGACGCGAAATGTGGAGCCGTCAATGGCCGGGTTGGACGCAATCTGCGTGAGTTGCGAGACGTCCCCGTGGGAGAGCTTGCAGCCGACAATGTTTGGGTGCTGCGACAGCGTCTCAAAGGTAGCAGGCGTGACTTTGACTATGTTGGACACGCCTGGATAGTGATATCTGTAGCCGATGCATCAGGAAAAAAAAATACTTGCCCGCGTACATGTACGTCCATCCAACACATCTCTCCATTCCACTTACACCAGGATCGGAATCGGACTCTGATCCGCCACCCACCGCACGGAACCACGACACGATGGCCCTCTCCTGCGTCGTCATCCGGCGCATTGTATCCCGGCAACGAGCACCATGCCGCCCCAAATCCGCGCCCCGCCTCCTTTTGCATCCCGCAGCTGCTCAACCCGTTTTCCTCGACGCTGTTTGTCGCCGTGCCCGCCACGAGCGGAAACGCTGCGGGAATCCCGGCAAAGCGTTCCAGCGCAGTGCGAACGAGGCCGGTTAGCAGCGCCCGCGCGGTCGGCGCGGGTTGAATGGCGCACCCGCCCTCGCCCGTGGCTGCCGAGCATTCGACGAGAGCCCGTGATGCCGCCGCCGCGCGCCCGAGATATACGGGCGTGAGGCGGGCCTGCGTGGTCGTGGTCGAGGGGGGGCGGGGTGGTGGGGTTGTAGGCGGCGGACGGACGGAGCGCCGAGCAAAAAAAAAGGTTGGGATGGCGCACGTAAATGCCAGGCGGCGGGGGAGCAGCCATGCTTTTTGATGTAGTTATGGGATATGGTTAAAACGGATCGATAAAAGGTGATGATGGTGTCCAAGACGCATGCGCTGAAAGACGGGCACTGCATCTATAAATGCTCGCTTGCCGTTCGGCCGTTGGGACAATGTACCACGGAGACGATGGTGGGAGGGTCACTCTGGTGGCGGACCTGAAGCTGCACCGTGATGGGGTGACATGCACTGCCAGAGTCTCTTTCCGGTGCATAGATTTGATCAGTATTTTTATTTTTATTTTTATTTTCTTCCTTTGTTTTATATATAGCGGACCGTGGTTTGCTGCCGGGGCTTGATGCTGGCAGAGTTGAACTACCAGTTGTCCGCCCGCGACAACAACAACATCCAGCACGGCGCCATCTATGCGAAGGTATTTTCCCCTAAATCGCGCTTGCATCAACGCCTGGTTTCGCTGTTCTACCCATGATTTGACATGACTATATCGCAACATCATGATCGAATGACCTCTGTGCCCTTGGCTGGCTCCAGCACCATCCAGCGACACTCTAGTTCCTTATTCTCGTTGTGGAACTTGAGCTTTTCGATAATCTTGTTGGCAATCTCCTCAAAGTTGGACGTGGCCAGCGCCAAGATGGTCGGCCCCGCGCCCGACAGGCACACGCCGAGGAAGCCCGGCTGGGTCTTGGGCGACATGGACTCGACGACCTGGCAGAGGCCCGGGATGAGCGTCTGGCGGTAGGGCTGGTGGATGCGGTCCTGCATGGCGAGGTGGATGAGCTCCGGGTCGGGCGGCGACTGGCCCAGCGCCACGGGCAGCAGGGCGATGCGCTGCAGGTTAAACGTCTTATTGTCGTGTCAGCTGGGGCGGTCCAGTCCAGTTCTCTCTTCGGGGCTTGCTGTGGCTGTGGTGTGGGCTCGCGTTGTGCGCGCAATTTTAACGTACCACATCGTTGCGGGCATACTTTTCTGGCAGCACCGCGCGTGCCTCGGCGGTGGGCACGACAAACTCGGGCACAATGGCCACGGCCTTGATCTCCTTGTTCCAGGGAAACTCGATGCGGTGGCCGATGCCGACGGGCGGCTCCGGGGGTTTCTTGCCCGTGTCGACGCCGCCGGCCGGGGACGGCAGCACCTCGCTGAGCGGGACCTCGATGCGCGAGGCGTCCTCGGGTTTGAGCGGCATCAGATATGTGCCGACAAAGCCACCAAACAGCGCAGCACCTACGTTATCCGGATGTCTTTCTGTAATTCATAATCCGCGGTTAGCCAATGTTACATCAACTTTCGTCATCGGCCCGATGGTCCGAAACAAAGGGCGCCACAAAACGTGCCAATCATGAGACAGTAGTCAAAGAGGCGGTTGTTATCCAGGTGGTGCAGGCCGCCGAGCTCGCGACCCAGAAACACGCCGGCAACAACGGCCGCGCCGGAGCTGCCCAGGCCGCGACCGAGCGGGATCGGGTTCTTGATGTGCACGTGCGTCTCGACCGGGAACGCGCGCTGGTCGTGGCAGCGCAGGACGTAGAGGGCGACGCGCGTGATGAGGTTGCTCTGGGGGTCGAGGCTAATGTCGGCGCCGCCCTCGCCCTGGCCCTCGTAGGTGATGCGGCAGTTGAGCGGCGCCTCGGAGCGCGTCTTGCCGCGGTCGACAGTCACCCGCAGCTCGAGGTAGATGGACAGGGCCAGGCCAATGACGTCGAAGCCGGGGCCAATGTTGGCGCTGGAGCACGGCGTCTTGATCGTAAACGACTCCATGGCTGTAGTTGAAACAGCAGGGAGCAGCAAGGACGGGGAGAAGAGACGGCGAGGTGGTCGTCGAGGGGCGGGGGGGATTTCGAGCCCAATTGGGGGGAAAATGAAGAGGTGCTGGTAGACAGACCCTTTTGGCAGGGGGAGAAAGCGATTTTTTGAAAACGGACGGCTTGTGACTCTTTGGCGGGGCACCGATAACCGGAGCTAAAAAAAAATCACGGTACTTTGTTGTGGAATGACACTGTAAAGGTGACAAGTATAGCTAAGCCTACAAGATGTGCTTCTAGATTTTGACGCCTGCCATGATCAATACGGCATCTTTTTGGATCTTTAACACGGCTGTTTCCTAGAGCGGTGCTTGATACCTCCCCGATGCAACAACAGGCAGGGCAGACACCGCTAATCTGCAGTGGATCTTATTAGCGCTGCGGTCGCTGCAAGAATGCGGATCTGCACCTTTCTAGGCCCGTGCTTCGTATATTGTACGTTAATATTGTACGTTAGAAGTTGCTGCAGTCCCGGCCTGACCCTCTTCATCATCCAAACATCATCTTCACTCATCGATTCCAGAGCTTGATATCACCATTCATCAAGAAAGATGACGTTTTATGCTACAAAGCTGCTCAGTGGCTTGCGGTCCGGCCCGAGGTAGACAATTGCTGCCTCATGACTTTCCCACAGCATCGGCGAGTAATACACCAACGGAAGCTCCTTGTATGCCAGATGCACATTCGAGCGGATAAAGTCCCCAAACTCGGTCCCCTCAAAGCTCACAAGAGAGTGAAGAATCTGCTGTACCCAAAACATTCTTTGCGTCAGACCATCTACACCGGCGCAAGGAAGCTCGAGGGCTTTCGAAACGACCTGCGACTGTCTCTTGTGGTTGGCATCCGTGTGCTGCTTCATCTCGTCTCTTGAATACAAAAGCTCAAAAAGGGACTGTAGCATGACTCCATGGCTGCTTGCGGAGCCGTCTTTGATCTCTTGGGCGAGTACAGCTGCCATGACAGCAAGGTCTCTGAATGGTGGGAGTTTCGAACGAGGCTCTTGATCTGCCACAAATCTCTGCACCATGGCAGCTCGCGCAGCAACTACTCCAGTCTGACCAGACACTGCAATCACATTCGGAAGCGGTTTCTTATCCGGGGGCCGAAATTGCATCCGCGCCTCTACGCTCTCCCACAGCTTCGCTGAATAGTGCGCCCGCCATTCGTCGCCGGTAATGCCATACAGGGCCTTTAATGCCTGCAGCGTGAGCGACTCGACCGATCCAGACCACGCAAAGCCATTGCTCTGAGACGTTGGTGTTGCAGTCGCGACTGCTGCATGGACTGTTTGGACCCAGAAATAAGCTTGCGTCTCCGAGTATGGCGATATTCCCGTAGTGACTGCGCGCTCCCGTATCGTCGAGGCCTGCAGCGCAGCCAAGGCTGCCTTGACGATCGGACCGCGTCGCGCCTTGGACGCCAGTGTTTGCTGGACCACGGTCAGGCCAAACCCAATAAGTCGGTCTGCATCGGCCGCTATGGCTGGTGGCGCATACTTGGATTGTCGTCGCTTTGTCGTCGCGACAGATGGGAGAGGCTTCAGATCCGGCAGACACCAATGGTCTTTGGAATTTTGGGTAAACAAATAATCCCTTGAATAATATCTCGTCCAGAGCCTCGAATCGGCAAGTGTGGGACTGTGCAAGAGGACACTTTTGAAATCTTCCCTCTGCAGCGCCCTGCTGGTGTCTAGACTATTGATATAGTTGGCGGCGGCAATTTGAAGCTGCGCCAACCAAAACACCGTCATCGTTCTGCAAGATGATCAGCCACAAATTTTCGCGCAGGTACATCAAGAGCCAGGGTGTTTTCTCACCGATGAGTCGTGTTGCGAAAGCGCTGCGGGTTTCCCGCTCGCAAGCGTTCCAGATGACTGACAAACGTGTCTGCTGCATCAAGAACACCGTTTCCCTGTTCAAAGGCTCCAATCAGGACAAAGAAACCAGCTTTGAGATGATTGTAATGATCCCACGGCGCCACTGATCCGTCTGCAAACGCCTGCCAAAAGTCGGCCGTGGTCATGCCATCGGCCCCTGTCATTGTCTTTGCTCGCTCATCATCATCTGAAGCATTCGAGGCAGCAGTGTCGGCCTTTGTATCCGGCTTTTTTGTCGCTTGTGGTGGTACGACTTGAGCACTGCCATGCTTGTCCCTGAGCATCTCGACGACCTCATCAAGGACTGTGCTCGGGTTCTCGCTAGTCGTGGCAGAAAATCCAGGACAGTCGAAAATCTTGATCGCTGCTGGCCTCTTGCATGATGCAGCGAGACTCTCATACGCCGCCTTGATTTTTGCCATGTCCTCGGTCTTTGTAGCCGCCACCATTAGATCCTGCACGCTGAGCACGATGAGAACCGGCACATGACGCAGTTGGTCGTCGCGAATCGAGCTCTTGAGCAAGTCCAGCTGCTCATCAAGTCTTTCCATGTCGGCACAGTGGTGGACGAAAATGACAAACTCGGTGTTTTGAAAGTAGTGTCGATACAGCGGACGAATCTTGTCGCACCCTGGTTCAATGTCAGTCTTGGCCATCATGGGAAGAGAGAAAAGGGCGCGTGCGCTCTCACCTCCGACATCCCACACGGTAAAGGCGTAGCCGGCGGGATGGTTTATCGTCTCGACGTTGAATCCAATGGTCGGCATCGTCGTGATTGTCTCTCCAAGGAGCCAGCGGTAGAGCAGTGTCGTTTTGCCTGCATAGTCTACGCCCAAGAGCAGCACCCGCCGCTCGTTGGTGCGCCAGAACATCCATTTCCCAAGCTCTGCAAAAAGACATTAGTCTAGATGTCTATGCGCATGAATAAATGTCACGAAACTCATTGTGTTATTTTATTTGTCAACAAGAAAGATTTTTTGACATGGTGAAAAGATTCAATGGTCAGCGGGCAGCCACGTCATTATACAGCTTGCGTGTGTCTCCAGGCAGCACAATTTCCACCATGGGGCTAGCTGTATGTCGAGGCGGATTGGCGATTTTACACAATGAAGCCACGTCGCGACATTGTTCAGGCAGCCTCATATAAGTCAGGGGTTCAAAGTCCATTGTGGTTTCTCCGCGGCGCGATACGATTTTCAAGAAAAGTTTTGCGACTCTGGCATCGCGATTATGGCGACCTTCGAAATGAGGCTATCGTGAACCTTAAAAAAAAACAAGTTGCACTAAAGTGAGGTAATGCAACACGGCCTTGTGGCCTGCCCATACTGATACAGATGAAACCTCGAAAAAATTCGAGCTACCCTTTTCTGGTCACTTGCACGCAGGGTCGGACATGAGGCTCGTCATGAGCCGCAACATACGTAACGCTACGAATCTTGGTCTGCGCTCCATCATATCAACCTCTCTAATATCAATAAAATGCACGTCGAAAATAATCTTTTTTTTTTTTCCCTCAAGCATATGCCATCATAATCCCGCCGCAAAACCCCGGTTATATCCCAAAAATAGATTGCCCTACCTAGCGCCGATCGACGCCAGCTCGTATCTCCCTGCGCCGCCGACCGCTCACGCGGGACGAAGCCGTAATGGACCCGTAGTTAGTATAGCGCACAGCTGCTGCCGCTTGCAGCTTATTCGCTGCAAAAATGACAGTGCTCACCGCGGGCATTCTCCCCCCCCCGCCTTCGGGCTCAATACGAAGTTGCCGCTGTTTGCTGACACGGTCCTTCTCCGAGGGGAAGCGGGGGGAGGGGGACCAACTTGCGAGCCCTGGTCACCCTGCTTGTTGTACGCCGTGGCCCGGCTGGTTTGGCGGATTGGTGGGTGGTGCGACAATGTTGTCTTGGAGAGGCAATTGCGGCGGACTCGCGGGGCGGGCGATGATGCTGTCGCTTGTCAAAGCCCACATTACACGGGAACACAGCATATTTTGACTTCGTATACGGACTGCGGGAGGGGACCGTCCATTGTCGAAAGCCTGTTTTGAGAATAGCGTTGTATATAAGGATCAGACGAGTGCCAACTTGGCTTTCAGAAATCAAAATCTCTTCTTTCACCTTTAATTTTTCACACATCCATCTAATAAACCATTTTTTTTCTTTTTTTCCATTTCAGCCATCATAATCATCATCATGCATTTCTCAAGCATTTTCAGTCTTGCTGCTCTTGCCAGCGCAGTCATGGGAACTACTGGTAAGCATACCACCACACACACACACACACGCACATATATATACATGACGACTTGACATTGTAATTTTTACCAACACACAAACTCACAGTTTCCTACGACACTGGCTACGATGACGGCAGCCGCTCGCTCACCAAAGTCGCCTGCTCCGACGGCGACAACGGCCTCATCTCCCGCTACCACTGGCAGAGCCAGAGCCAGATCCCGCGCTTCCCGTACATTGGCGGCGCGCAGGCCATTGGCGGCTGGAACTCGCCGGCGTGCGGGTCCTGCTGGAAGGTCGAGTACAAGGGCCGCTCCGTCACGGTGCTGGCCATTGACCGCGCCGTCAGCGGGCTCAACATTGGCCTGCACGCCTTGAACGACCTCACGGGCGGCCGTGGCGTCGAGGTTGGCCGCATCGAGGCCCAGGTTACCCAGGTTGATGTCGGCCAGTGCGGCCTGTAAAAAAAAAATACGGGGGGTTCAGAAGCCGGGCCCATGAAAAAAACTATGCATTATGAATCTTGGTTGTTGCACTTTATTAATGGAGATTTTATTTGATTAGTAATACAATTTGTGATAAAGCATCATCCTTGTCCATCAGGATCCGTGCCACCTTGATCGTTTTCTTCATCATATCGTGGGCTGTATCGTCGGGGTCTGCAGCCAATGATATATTTGACCAGCCGTTTCCCGAAACAGTGCCGAGGCATATAATCTGTGAAATCCCAGCAAAATGCCACCAACAGGAGCATCGCTCTGTGGATTGCATGCGTAGCACTGCAGTTGGACTTTTACCTTTTGCGTCCCACCAACGGCATCAACTTCCAGTCGTTGCACGCTCAGTCGATGGCAACCCGCAAACTGGCTCATGTCTGACCCGAATAAAAAATCGGCATGACTTTGCGTCGTGCTACTCGAATCCCCAGTCGCATCATCCGCAAGATGAATGTCTGCAAGGCGGAAAACACCAAACAAGACCGTGTGCAGCTCTGGCAGCGAGGCTTCTGACAGTTTGGCAGCGTTCCATATATGCGCAGGCACTGTAGTGGAAGCGAGATCTACAAAAAATAACTGTCAGCAAACGAACCCAGATCACGCTTTGGGGGTGTTGGGAAAAACATACTCGAGTATTTCGCATCTTGTAATTTCAGCAAGGTTAAAGCTTTGGCTTCGAGATAAAAAACCCAGCCATTGAAAAAGTGTTTAGTCGCTTGCGCCAAGATGGTTTCGTCCGAGATGCCCTTGTTGAGCGGCACGTGGAGCGTCACAGTGTGCGTGTCCACTGCCCGACTTTCTTTCCTCTGCGGGTTGACATGATTGGAGATTGTCGGAGAATCGATAAAAGACAAAGGTGCAGTGTTTTCATCCGTGATGCCCAACTTTGAGCCCGCAGCTATTCGCCGCGTGGTACGGCTGACGTAGATGGACGTTGTAACAATGGCAGCACCCGCGGCCACGGAAGACGCAAGGCGCCAGACTGTGCGTGATGGAAAAGACATTGCAATGAATAAAGGATTCTTTTTTTAGTCGTATGGTTGATTTATTTGAAAAATGATTCATTGAAACGTAATTAATTCCGCGCGATTCCTTTGCGGCCGCCTCGTTCTTATTAAGTGCCGGGTTTGCAAGGCTGAGCAGCCCGGTTCAGCCCGGCTGGCTCCGGAACTGCATCGTGCCAACGGTCAGCTGCTCACTTGTCGCGGCAGCTCTCACGGAATGTGCACCAAAAGGGCAACTGTGACTCAATTACAGAAATCAGTGATTATTGTAGAAATTATAGCTCATCTATTTAAATTATTGGCGAGTCACTTGGTCCCGCTCTCTCATCCGACGAAAAAAAAGGCCGTCTCATTTTCGCGTCAACATCAAACATGGCCGAAACTAGTCAAAGAGCAACATTTTTTTTTTCTTTTTTTTTTTTTTGATTCTAGATCTCCAGCAGGCCAAAAGATTAGCTTTCAATGAGACCCTCGAAATTCTGCGTGCTAGCCGCCGCGCCTCTCGGCAGCGGCCCAGACGGAGGATGAATGTCGGTCCAAGGCTCAAAAATGGTCGTGCCCTTGAGAAGCCCTCCAATCGTCTCCCAAATTGTCAAAAAGGCAACGAGCCCCATGACCAAGACCACAAACTGGGTCGCGTTGAAATGCCCATGCGTAGCTGGAATCACCATTAAAATGACGGCAACAACCAGGCGCATGCCGACGCGCAACGTCTTGGGCAGTATGAGGTCGTGGCGCTCCTCTGCCTTGTAGAGCATGCCGTACACCCAGAGGCACAGCAAGCCAATGCCGAGACCAACGCCCAGAAGCCATCGCTGTCCCTCTTCAAAATCCTCGACACTGACGCTCAAGGCGGCAATGTGGCCGGCGATGAGGAACGCGGCCGCCATGGGGAGGTGCAGCAGGAAGAAGCCAAAGGCGGTCCACGCAGAGCGACGGATAGGGTGTGTGGCTTTCAGACTGCCGTCGCCGCTGACATAGATCCAATTGAGACAAAAGGCTATAACGAGGGTGCAGACAGCTTTGCCATAGCCAGGCGTCAGGCCAATCCCGGCCGGGTTGCCCACAATGACAATGTACACAAACTCGCCGAGGATGATGATGAAAAAGGCCGCCATGCGATCAATCTCGTGCGCGATATCAACCGCAGTGCTGTAACGGAGCTTGAGGCGGCGCTTGAGCCAGGGACTCAGCGTCACGCTCCACGTCAGCTCCTGGTAGACGATCATGACGGCGACGACGCCCGCCTTGGCGCCGACGCTGACGCTCTCGAGAAACAGCGGCGTGGTGATGAGCAAGCCGACCAGCATAAAGCACGTCATGATGCGCGCCTGCAGCCGGTGCGCGTAGCTCGCAAAGGAGCTGACGAGGAAAAACAGCATCGTGGTGAAGCGCGCGGCGACGTAGGCGCCGGCGGCGGTGCGCATGGCGCCCAGGTCGTCGTCGACGTGGTTGGCATTGTTGGCAAAGAGCACCAGCAGCGCCATGACCCAGAGGATGGTGAGGCGCTGCACCAGGTCGTCGGTGTAGTACGAGTTCATAATCTCGCGCAGGTCGACCCAAATGTGCCACGCCGGCGTAAAGGTGAGAATGTACTTTGCAACGTGCGCGCCGTCCGGGTGCTCGCTGAGCTCCTCGCTGAGATTGGCGACAATGGCAACGTCTAACGAATGGCAAAGTTCAGTGACACAGTCCTCTCAGTGCAAACTACTTATGTTGCGCAGATTGCATGGTTAGGAGCTTGACTCACATAGTAAATCTAGGAATAGCTCAAAGCGGCCGGCTTGGCGCTCCTCGTCGCTGTCCTTTTGCAGCTCTCCATCACAGAACCACTGCAGCGCCTTGGGCCGCTTGATAATGTAGTGCTCGCCCTTGGCGTTTTCTTGGAGTTCGTTGCAATTCATTGTCCCAGCAGCGCGCGAATAGTGGTATTCTACCGTCTTTTTTTGATGCCTGCCAAAAAATTGCGAGCGCGCGCCACAGGAATCTGGAATTGATAGTTGAAGGGATGGATGTTGTTTAGCAAAACGACCAAAACCTTGCCGAAATCTGGGCAAACGGTAGATGGCTACCGAGAGCGGAGCCCAAAACTCTGTGATCAGACTCGTTTTTTTTTTTAATGCCACGCTAGTGAGTGGCTCGACACACACCAACTTTGAATATATTTATTCTATTAGCGGCCGAGCGTTGGACGAATGCGGAAGGGAAGTCATTCCCTCGCCGAGTTTGGCGAGAGTTGGACAACGATCCTGACTGGCAACAGACTGGTGATAAAATGGCAGATTGTAACATCGTCGAGGGCATGCAATACAATTGCTTCGTGTCTGGCAACACGTCAATCCTTCCGCTCTAGTCACCCGAATTTGCATAATTGATGCGGGGCCTGGCCTTGATTCTAGATCTCCCCTGAGCCTTTATCTTTATAGTCGACCTGGTATTTACCTGATTCAGCTAGTGTCCTTTTAGCGGCTGAATCGTGCAGCTGCCACTCGTTGTTTAGTCAGGCTTATAAATCGTCGTGTAAAACACATCTTCCAAGCACGCGGATACCAAGGCCTTTCGGTATGCTGAACCTCTCCTGCTCGTATATATCTGTCGTTTTCATCAGACCTTGTCAGCTCTCAGCCCAAGCTTTGATTTATACCGGGGAGTCTAGAATCGGCAAAGACACTAAAGGCCGAGACACAGTACCCCGCGCACATTAAATGTCTCTCATCTGTGCCTAACCCTAGGGTAGCAGTGCATCCTGATTAGGCTGGCTTCGACCATGTCGACTATATATATATTACCTTTGATACCCAGATTGGGGTTTAGCTATCTGCTTCATGTCGCTCCTTTTTTAGCATTATTTACCCTTGAATTCGATCTGTGAAAATTCGACTTTGTACAATACAAAGGAATATCAGCCGCGCGGTGTCATAACGTCTTCGGCCGTCTGCTTCATGAAACCGCCCATGGCAATAATTTCACAGCAAATGAATCAGTTTGACAGCAAGTGAATCAATCTGACAGCAAGTGAATCAGTGCCGATTCAGCACATGCGCCATTGGCTCATACCTTGAACCGCTTCAAAAAATCCAGTCACAAGACAAAGCCAGGGTTGGCACAGTAGTCTAGGAGAAAAAAATATGGCATTGTGATACATAAGTTTGGTATTACATATATAAACACTGCATGAAAACCTCTCTCTAGATCTTGAACTCTCGTCATCATTACACTGTTTTTTTTTGGCTCTTTGCTTTTTCCAGTAGAAGCCCTGCAAAGCCTTGGCTACAGCTCTAGATTCTTGTGAGGAGACAATATCCATCGGTGGTTCGGTGCAGTCATTCACAATGCTCTAACAATTTATTCTAGACAATCAACCGCTTAACAAAATGCTCGACTTCTCGTTGAAGGCTCTCGTCCTTGCTAGTCTTCTAGCTACAGCAACTGTCAATGCTGGGTCTCACAGCACCGCAACAGATAGTACAGTTGCATCGCCTTCTCGCTGCTTTCCTGACGGAACTCATTGCCATCGACTTGATGGTCATTCGCATAGTGATAGCTGCGCTTGGTGTTGCAGTTCTTTTTATTCATGTGGCAACTACTGCTACTGTGGTTAATACCGAAATACATCAATAATCAACGGAGCAAGTATGACGTGGGCTGAGTTGCTGCTCGAGAGATGATCGGAAGTCGGGACACTCATCTCGGCATTTGTTTGCGCTACACTCATTCTTGGCAGTAGGCTCAGCGGCTTCCAGATTTGCGCGTGTCGATTTGAATCAATATACAAGGCCTGTGTCGGTGTTTAGATAAAATCGATAGACTTCTGGATATCGATATATCCGCATTGACGTTTATATAGCACATGGCGAAAATTGGTATCCAATTACGCCACATCAATTTATAGCAGTCGAGAAGAATGTCCAACTCCTCAGCCTCTTTGTCAATGAGCTATACAGCATCGCTTGAAAGATCTCCCTGCCGCGTGCGACCCAGAACAATGATACCTTCGAATATCCAATGCCTATAGGGGCCGTGGGGTCATTCCCAGATGTTGTATTATCATTTGTACTATATAAAATCTAGAGCTTGAGCTGCTGAAACCCTTCAATATCCAGCCGGAAAAGGCTGTACGAATATGAGCAACTACACTATCTAGCATTATGTAGGTGCATGCTACGGATACGGATATGGCACTCCTTCAATCACCCTTTGAGGCGGTGCAGGGGCCTCATGTTTCGCAGGATAGCAACTATATCTAGCACCTCTTCTTAGTCCTTTGCTACCACCAAGCATAACGTCCCGAACACCAGTCTCTTCTTCGTCCCCCATCCTCGGAGGATTGCTTGTCTCTTTCACTAAGCCATCCTGGAGTCTCATCAAGGACCCTCAGAGCATTGCGGTCGTGACAAACTCGCAAAGGCAGTGCGTCTGATATCGACACGCCAATGCACATCATGGTAATCCGTCCAAGCGGGCTGTCCATCGCGGGACCGAAGCGGCGTTGAAGGCAAGAATGAGTAGGCATGCGAGATCAACGGCTAATAGCACAGAACTCATAAATATGCCTGCGAGTCTAATGACCGGAGTTTGTAGGTTAAAGCCTATATTCCGCGAAATGAGGAGGGTAGTCTGACCTCTGGTTGACTTGCCGCCGTGTGTGTCATAGCGCACTGTCTATATCGGAATGCTAGTATACACGAGGACTCACACAAGGCAACATAGCCTGGTTTGCACTCTGGACCGCATATCACGATGGCTGTTCTTCGCGTTTAGTGGCTATGCGGCTGCATGTTGCATGACGAATTGTTTAGCTGTATTCGTAATCACCAGATGAATGCGCGATTTGATCATGAAGGCTTGCTGTTGAACCGCTCCGCCATATCACTGATCAAACATCCTGAAGATGTGCTCTTGCAAAATTCAAGTTGTGTACGGATTAAGTGTGCGAGGATTTTGTACTATGTGATAGCATGTGGTTGTCTTGGGTCGTAAGGCTCACAGTAAGGCGTGACATTGCACAGCCTACGCATGCTACAGGCAGCCAAACGTTGGACAAGAATTGGGCAAGGGCAATCTTTACCGATGGCAGCTCATTTGAAGGCCTATAATTCAAATAATATTATTGTTGCCTGATGCGCCACAGACGTTGCCGATGTCCTGCCCACGACGAATCTTCCAAGGCCAAAACACTAGCTAGTCGCAGTCTTTTCCTTTTTCTCCAGGAACCTTCTCGTTTCTTGTATTCCGTAAGAGTACATATAGGGAATAATTGATTTTTGTTGGGCGAAAGACCATCGCAGTAAGCACACCCCAGCTGCATTATTCATAGTCTCCTGCGCCCGAACAACTACTATATTCCTCGCACCTACCCAGAACCGCGATTTTCACGCATATAGATTATTTTGATTTAAATTCTTTCACACAAAATAACATGAAGCATAAATCAAGCCGTTATTAGCTGCTAAATCAAACCAGTAAAAGTAGCTAAATGTTAGGATTTTTCCTTCAAGGCCTGTAACGGCTTCCACGAGGCTTAGGAATCACATCTTGTTTCTTAGTTGTTGATCTAAGATACCTTAGTAATTCTCCCACCCAAAAGTCGGTAAGATGATTAAATGTCTTGGTCTTTGAATTGATCACATGTATTTGTACTGTCTTCTGCTTCTCGCGAAAGGAAAAGTGACTCCTTCCAAACTACGTCTTCCAACTAGATAGTGTGTAGCATCGCCGCTGTTTGTGTTCAGCCAGGCAATTATACTGTTACCGACTAAGCAGCCGCGCGACCACGAAATGTTGATTGGGTGAAAAGGATTGGCCAGGCCACTGAATGGAAAGCAATAGTTATCTGTGTCCGTCCGAAAAGTCGCTCTATGGATGTCGATTCAAGGCGCAATGTGGCGGCCGCCAAGTGTATCAACTAATCTTCAACTTCAACAGGCCAAGCGTACTAGTGGCGTCACAGCACTATCCTTGGCCCAGCAAGTTGAGATGGGCTGTTCGGAGAGGGCGGATAATTCTGCGCAGAACAAGGGCTGATATAGAATTCTCTTCTCGTGGAATGTTTGGCTCTTATTAGTAGCCTGCCATGTCAAAGAATAATCCGAGGTAGAACTGTCGCGCTGGCGTTCATGAAGAAGGAAACCCGCCATCACATGTTAAAATGCAAGTCATCGTTGAGCAACTGCTCTAGCACTGTTACGATACAAACTACGGAGTAATAAGCACGCCAAGCCAGCACTAACGCCAGCCACGAGCCGTTGTTGCTCTGGAACAGTTCACCACTAATAACAACACATCCAAGATGCTCGTCGAAATAGCGCAGGAGTGCACATGAACAGCCAAGTAACGTGGCCCCCGCAAAAACGACCTTGCTCTATTAGTCACATCTTTTTCGGGTATTAATCTGCCCGCGTCGTTCTATAGTTCATGCACATTTCCTCCTCTGCCTTTGCATAAGCCTTGGACTCGCCGCCGACTCCCGGTAAACCGGTTTGTTGAGCGCTTTGCATTGTGCAATGTGCATCTGAAACGTGACGAGGACACAGGAAAGTAAGTTACTCATAATTGTGATTTCGACAGTCACCTACATACTTTGTACATGGCTCAGAGGGCAAGTGTACTTGTAAACTTCAGTGTGTGTGTGTGTGTGTGGGCCAAGCTCATTGCGACGGTCAGCCTCGTTTCGCCATGCCCACAATCATCGTCAGCCAAAACGCCACTACCGCGCAAGTTTCTTGTCGGCCCTTGCATCTCTGTAACAAGCCACTCTTTGCGCGGTCCGCCCACAAACCACATGTCATAAATCGAGGCGCAAGGCTCCAGGTTCAAAGCCTTGGAGGTTAATAAGAGTTGACTAGATGACTAGGGTAACGTTAGCCATCAGGCTGCGCGGTACGGACAAATGCCGTCTGTGTGATTGTCTGTGCGTTGCGAGCCTTGCAGAAGCATTAACAGCCCAGCCCTGGGCTGTCTCAGAGTATGCAAAGAGTGAGACCCCATTGTTATTAGTTCTTCTCCGGAAGCCGAGATGAACGGGTTGACGGGGTAGATGGGTTACTGATTGTTCGGGGAAGGGTTTGGTAGCAGGTGCAAGTATTGCGTTATTGGCCATTGACCGCGCCGTCAACGGGCTCAACATTGGCCTGCACGCTGAGAGGAGCGGCCTCGTTTTACTTGCGCTCGCTTTATGATCGGTACTGTGGTTGCATAATAAAGTTTGTTAGTCCTTCGTAAAGTTAAGACGGAAGGAGAGGCTGAGATCGTATTCTTCAAGATCGGAACTTTAATAATCTGAAGACTGGCAATCAAGGCTAGACAAGCAAGCACACAAAGTTGAACCATGACGACTTGACAATACCAAAAGAAGCTAACAGGTCGCTAATAGCCTTCCTTCCCCCCCCCCCGCTCAGTGGGCGTACCGGGACCCCGGTTTCTTGGAATTTCCCCTTTGCCAAAAAAGCTGGGGGTGGATGTGTGTGTGTGGAGGAGCGCGCTGCGCCGTCCTGACTCGCCACGCTCATCATACAATGAACGGTGCCACTGCTCGTCCTGTTGTTATTCTGCATCTGCGGTAATCAAATCCAATCTTCAACGGTATGCATGTGGCATCTTGAGATTTCCTCTCTCCAACAAAGTCGCGTATCACGATTCACGTTGTGATGCGCCTTGTCGCCTTATACTCACCGGCTAGGCACACCAACGCCCCGAGTACGCCACCGAGGGTGTCCTTACCGCTTATAACCGACGGCCGTGGCCTGGTCCCGTAGGCAGGTTTCCGTGCTGTCTACACCATCTGTTTGTTCTTTGCAATCAATCAGCACACCTTCGTTTTGCGGTGGCCCAATCGCCTCACTATGCGGTTGCTGAGTGGCTTGTCAGCGGTCCTGGCGGTCTTGATACTGGAGGTTGCCGCGGCCGACAAGCCCAGCAGCCTGACCTTGTCCGATGCCATCACAAAGATGCCCAAATGTGCTGTATGTTTAAGTGAGAACACGACATCCGTCTGTTCTTCTTCTTTGAATTACCGCAAGCTAATTTCCCTTTGTCAGCTGCCGTGCATGTTGAAAGTCGTTGGCGACGTCGGCTGCGCGGCTCTCGACAAGACTTGCATCTGCGAGACCAACTATCACAAGATTGAAAAGCATGCCTCGCCATGCATTCGCAAAGCATGCACATTTGCAGATGCTCTGCGTAAGAAATTCTTACCTTTTCCTTCCCCTTTTTATCACCACGATATCACAAATACTCACAGTTTTAAAAAAAAATAGAGGCCAAGAATCTCACCGCGCTCTCGTGCGACGCGCCCGTCCGCGACAAGACGGCGCGCTACAACGTCCTGGCCATTGTCCTCGGCGTCGTCACCAACCTCCTCGTCGCCATCCGCCTCGTGTTCAAGCGCTTCTTCAGCTACCGCCGCGCCCTCGGCTGGGACGACTACACCATCATCGGCGCCATGCTCGTCGGCATCCCCGCCACCGTCATCAACGTGGCCGGGCTCACGGCCAGCGGCATGGGCCGCGACGCCTGGACGCTCTCCGTCGCCGAGATTAACCGCTTCGGCGCCTTCTTCTACACCATAGAGGTGCTGTACGTGGCCGACGTTGCCTTTGTCAAGCTCAGCCTCTCCGCGTTTTACCTCTACATCTTCCCCGGCACGTGGACGCGCCGCCTGCTCTGGGCCACCGTCGTCTTCAACGCGGCTTCGGGCGTCGCGTTTGTGGTTGCGGGCATCGCGCAGTGCGTGCCAATCTCCTTCTTCTGGCTCAGGTACACCGACCCGGGCGCCTCGGGCCGCTGCATCGACATTAATGCGTTTGGATGGAGTCATGCGGCCGTCAGCATCGCCGTCGACGTGTGGCTGATTGCGATTCCGCTCAGCCAGCTGCGAAAACTGCAGCTGCACTGGAAGAAGAAGATTGCCGTCGCTTTAATGTTTCTGCTCGGTACTTTGTATGTTTTCACCCCCAATCGCTGAGCTTGCTCCCCGAGCTAATTGGCCTAGTGTCACCATTGTGTCCATTCTTCGGCTTCAGTCACTCATCTATCTGGCCCGGTCCAGCAACCCTACCTGGGATCATTGGCTAGTGGCCTGGTGGTCCACCATTGAAGTCCATGTCGGCATGATTTGTGCCTCTTTGCCTACGCTCCGCCTCGTACTGGTGCGCATGTGGCCCCGTGTTTTCAGCACCAACATCTCGCGTCACAAGTCGGTTACGGAGCGCAATACACGACCAAACAGCGCCAGCTACATCATGCACAGCAAAGAAGTGACACAATCATCGAGTGAAATCGAGCTGTGTGCTGTAAGCAGCCCGGGAATTAGACGTATGACTGTTTATTGCCTTCTTGCCTATTCTTTTTTGACCGCTCATAGCCGTACCACCACCAAAAGACAATGTCACGCCCCGATCGCCTCCACGATCCTACATTCCACCCAAAGACTGGTGATGCCGAAACATTCGAGCCCCATTCAGGGGCTGCGACATTATTGAGAAATGATCTACTTAATGGGAGAGGCGATGACGCAGGCTACAGAAAACCACACACCTAAATAGTGTCTGTACGAAGGGTACCAACAGAACCAGCGACTTAAAAGTATTGGCTCTATTTCCTGGAACGTATGAACCCTTTTCCATTTCACCATTTGCATTTTATGAGCGAGAAACGATCATGATTACTATTTCCAACGTCCCTTTCACTTCCCATGCGCATGATTTCATCAAGTGCTTCCACGCACCTCACGTACAAGATGCTCCAATATCTCCTTGTATCGAACAAGATCCGGCGACTCCTCCGCCCAAAATTCGAATTGCGTCAGAACTTTTCCAATCTTGCCGCCAATGGGGTCGCGGTTTCCAGGCCAGTACTGTTGTGAGGTCACGCCCCATACAGCGTCAGTACCACCGGGTATCCAGGCAGCCTGGCCGCTCTTGATGATGGCAAGTAGAACCAAAGACGCCGTCATAATGCTTCGCAGATCGTACCACAGGCCGTGATGGCGGTGACCTCTGGATCTCACGTCAATTGTTTTCAAGCAGCACTCGATCCCAGAAGTGACCAATGAGTGCAGAAGCTCAACCTCGTCATTATCCAGTTCGGGTATGCCATTGACAGGTCCGAGGCTCTCCGCACTTGTACCTGTGGTCGGTGGCGAGTTTAGCAGGCTGCTAATTCGGGGCTCTGTGCTTTTGTCCGACGATATGTGTCGCAGTAGGTTCGGTCTGGCTACATGTACGAAATAAAACAGAAATGGCTGATACAGCCACGTCTGCATTTCCAATAGTCGATTGTCGACCGCCCAGCTAAGCTCTCGTGTAACGTGATTCGAAGTTCCTACATTCGGTGCTCGAATGACAGAGGTAGTCTCGTAATGCTGCATGGCGGGAGGCAAGTGTGCGGACCACGAGGACACTTGCGCTTCAAACTCTTTTGCCATTCTTAGCAGCGGCTTCAGGTTCATCATCCAAGCCGATCGCCCCTGACGAAAGAAGGTGTTGACAATACGATTTCCAATCCGCCTAAGGGCAATTTCTGTGAGGTAGTAGTACCAGCTCTCCTCCTCATTACAGAGACGTACGGCGTGCTGGCGAAGCTCCAAATCTTCCGTGCTTGCAAAGTTGTTTCCACCAGTCACTCCGTCATCGTCCGAGCTGTTCGTGGGTATTGGCGAAGGCGGCGATGGAAACAAGTCTGGATATTCGGCAAGACTAATCTCGGACTGCTGTAGTGGCAACTCGACACGAAACTCACATTCAGATTTGAATGCAGACCAGTACAGACTCTGCTCCAGGCGCTTCAATTTTCTTGTTGTAAAGTCCGATCGGCTAGAGGCAGCATTCAAGGCGTCTTCGAAGTCGCCCGCAATGCCATGCGTCATGCGGAGGTGGACTTGAAAGAAGACGGATGCGTGTAAGAAATAGTGCCAAGATGCCAGTGGCCGTAGTGTGTACATGAGGTAGACTGTCAGAAATTAGCGTCCTGGTTCCCTTGTCTTTGCTTCGTCCTTGTGAAGCCCGTCTCCCATCAGCCTACTCGCTTACCTCCTGCAAAAAAGTGGCACTGAGCGCCTATAAGAGAATACTTGAGCGACCCAAGTCTTCGGCAAGCGAGTGCAAAGCAAGAGTCGGCCTGTTGTAGCTCCTTCGCATACATCCTTGAGGAAGATGCCATGGGCTCTCCTGTGGGCTCATCCTTGCCGAAATAAATGCCTGCTGCCTGTGGTATTGGCCTATTGAATGGCTTCACGATAGATCCTAGCGCACAAGCCAGAAGAACCAAGCATGATCGGCCATCCCATCCAATGCCTTGATCTGCACATCGCCTGCCATGCTTGACGAGAGATTCAACGTCAAGAATCGGATTTTTTGTGTGAACATTTTGAAGAAATTTGTCGATGAGGACGGGGATGTTTTCTTCGTCCAGGGGCATCATGCGCGATGGAGCGGCAACTACATCCTCGGCCATGTCCGCCAATTTCGGTTTGAAAAGGCTGCTTATCAGAGCATTCGCGGGAAATCTATCCTCGAAAATCTCCCAGCATAGAACAGTATCTGCACTAGCAGGATGCTGTGGAATTTGCAGAAAATCTCGTGACGGTTCTTGAGGTTGAGGTGCTTGGGATGCAATGTCGATACTAGATGACGTATGTCCTGCTGCCATTCGCTCAGACACCTTGAATGAAGCATCCTCGGCTTGATCTTGGTCTTTTCGCGTCAATGCACTGAAAATACACCCCGGGTGCACCTTTACATACCTTGAGTCTGTAAGAGGTTCCTCAGACTGGCAAGCTCAGAGCTTAGATCTTCGAACTTCTGCAGCAATGTGGTTGTTACGGTTTCAAGACTAAGAAGGCCGGTTAGCACAGTCGCATACGCTGGTCAGGTCTTTACTTGCGTTAATTTCTCGACGGTGTCTTCCAAATACTTGCAGTCTTGACCGCCAGCGTCGCATATAGTACAAGCGGGCCGCTTCTTATCACATTTGATCTTGCGGAGTCGGCATGGTTGACACGCAGCTTGGCGTCTCTGTGGAGTCTGTAAAGAGGTTGTAAATTAGAATCGATTCGATGCACATGTATCAAGTCCAGAATCCTATCGTTGGAGTACAATCATTTGGAGGACATAGCATGCAAATGGCATAACTAACTGTATTGGAGTCAACATTTTGCCGCTGTCGCTTGGAAGGAGGTCCTGTCACTTCAGGAGTTTGCTGGCTGGGCTCCGTGGCTGGGACAGTAGTACTGGCAGAAGACCCAGGAGGCATGACGCCTCGAGCCGGGGTGGCAAAAGAGCAGCCGCCTCTTCTGCGAATACGTAATACGTTTAGAATACCTCAAAAGGAAAAAGGCTGGCCCGAACGGATGATGATATGAATGTCGTCGGAGAAAAGGATCGTGAGTGGTGCGGTAGCACGGCGAGCGCGACCGAATACCCCGAGCTGGGCGATCGTTCGTTTTTGTGCTGGGCGGAGGCGGGGGGTGGCGCTTGGCGCTTTGTTTGGTGGGGGCAAATGAGAGTGCTCTTTTCACTCTCGATCAGGCTTGGCGGGAAGGATAATAAGATTGAAAAATTAGAAAAGGAGTCGCGCATTGGAATGGCATGCAGTGCCCCCAGTTGGTTATGTAATTCGGCCCTGGCGCTGACGGCTGGCATGTATGCCAGGCTGCCAGCTGCCCGCAAACAGACCCCAGCGCCCCTGATACCTGCTTTTTTTCCTCTTCCATCTCCAAGGCCTGGTAACCATTCATCAACATCCGACAGATTGGCGTCTTTATTCCGATGCGGTTGAGAGAATCATGTTTCGTCCCACCGGGCGGCTGTATCGCCGTTGTACGAAGGGTTTCCCCAGACTCCCCCGGGCTCTCCCCAGACGCAGTGCAACGGTAACAGCCGACAAAGTAGCTCCAATATCTCCCAACAAAGTTATTGTCAAGCCACGCAAGACGAGATGAAAATTCGACTCAATTGCCGGACTGATTCGTCGCATCTCCCTTGAGCGACGATTCTGATTCGCGCGGCTAAGTAGTGAGAGCACGACTCGCTGGCGGGGACCTAGACCCCAACTCCCCGACGACGACTCCTTCGGTCAGGCGCTAGTTTACTCCGTTGAGGGGCCCCAGAAAATCTACCAAAGGCTATATGCGACCCTCGGGGAAGAAAAGCTGGGGAATTGCCTTATGATGGCTCCTGAGACTGGGGCGATGCTTCCATTTGCCTTGGTTTCTGGTAACCAGCTGACCGATCATCTCGGCGCAGGGCATTTGCTGTCTTTCTATATAAACGGCGGCTTCGTCCCCCGTTTGTCTCTCCACGTCGCAACGTTCGGCCTGCGCTAGCTTCACTGTTTTTTTTTTCTTGGTGGCATCTACGCTGGGATCCCCCACATGGTTTTTGCCTTGACTAAAAAGCCTGGACACCCTCCTTCTTCATTTGATCAATCGTTACACTGTTACCATGGCCAGTTTCAAGGCCTTTACCGACAAGCATAATGTCGCACACAAGCTGTACAAGAGCTCATTGCTCAATACCGTTTGTCTTGTCGCCGGCCTTTCCATCTTCTTCTTTGGCTACGACCAAGGTCTGATGGGCGGCGTGACTACCACGCGGAATTATGCCGAGATCATGGGCTTTGGACACTGGGACGAAGAACTGGGTATTGTCGTGGTGGACAAGCCGCTACTCCAGGGCGGCATTGTAAGTATATGTTTCCCCGTCATAGGGCTTTGGCTGACAAGTTTAGGTTGCGGTCTACTACCTTCCTGGCACTCTTGCAGGCTGTCTGCTCGGTGGATGGATGGGTGATCGCTATGGACGCATTGCCACCATTGGTCTCGCTTGCATTTGGTGCATTTTTGCCGCTGCCCTTCAGTCTGCCGCTCAGAATGCGAATTGGATGTTTTGCGCCCGCGTGCTGAACGGCATCGGCACTGGTATTCTCAACGCCATCACCCCCGTATGGGCCACTGAGACTGCCGCACATACCTCACGTGGACAATTCGTTGCTTTTGAGTTTACTCTCAACATCTTTGGTGTGGTTGTTGCCTACTGGCTCGAATTGTAAGTACTCGATGCAAAAGCATGTGGCATAGAACTAACATGCCTGCAGTGGCACGTCTAAATACCATGACCCAGAATCGTCTTTCATCTGGCGCTTTCCCGTCGCCTTCCAAATTCTCCCGCTTGTTATTCTTCTGTCCCTGATTTGGTTTATGCCCGAGTCGCCACGCTGGCTTGTCAAGGTCGGCCGTGAGGAAGAAGCCCGCTTTATTCTCGGCCGCCTGCGAGGCAATGAGGGCGAAGAAGGCAAGGCGGCCGAAGCGGAGCTCCAAGACATAATCAACATCAAGAATCTTGAAAACGATACATCCGAGCAGCAAAGCTACTTTCACATGTTCTTGGGTATTGGTTCAGGGAAGCTGCATACGGGCCGCCGCGTGCAGCTTGTCATCTGGCTGCAGATTCTCCAGGAGTGGATTGGTATTGCAGGCATAACCATTTATGGCCCTCAAATCTTTACCATTGCCGGAATCGGGGCCTCTGATCGTCTTTGGGTCAGCGGCATCAACAATATTACATACATGGTTAGTGCACACGGCGAATGGATCACAGAAAATTATTGCTAACGCTTCCCAGTTTGCCACCCTCATTTGCGTATTCACTTTGGACCGTATCGGTCGTCGCTGGACTCTGTACTGGGGCGCTGTTGGTCAAGGCATCTGCATGTTTGCGGCTGGGGGTCTTGCCCGGGCCACTATCAACGCCTCCGACTCGAACCGCGCTCAGATTGGTGGCGCCGCAACCTTTTTCGTCTTCCTCTATACCGCAATTTTTGGTGCTACCTGGCTGACTGTGCCCTGGCTATATCCTGCCGAGATCTTCCCACTCCAGGTGCGCGCCAAGGGCAATGCCTGGGGTGTCGTCGGCTGGTCTATTGGCAACGGCTGGTGTGTAAGTACATTTCCACAGTCAAGCCAGTAACTTATGACACAAGTAAACTGACATTTGTGCCCTAGGTTCTGCTTTTACCCACCATCTTTGACAAGCTTAACGAAAAAACGCTGTACATTTTTGGCGCCGTCAATGTCCTCTGCATTGTGGTCGTCTGGGCGCTGTATCCCGAGTCCAACCAGCGCACGCTCGAAGAGATGGATCTTGTTTTTGCCAGCGATAGCATCTGGACGTGGGATGCTGAGCGCAACTTTGCGAAAATTAAAGCCGAGAACCCAGACCTCATCAAGAGCCACAGAAACACCCGCGGCGTGGATGACCCCGAGCGCGGCATCTTTGGATCGCGCCGCGCGAGCAGGGTGTCGGCGGTACAGCCCGCGGTGGAGAAGGAGACTACAGTTGAGAATGTGGAAAACTCGGCACCTGCTCACCACTGACATGTCAATTTGGGTCCTCTGCGTATCAGATCCCAATTACTGGGTCGCGAATTGTATCACAACACCCCGTGCTCACGGCTGGCGTCCGTCACGCCATCACGTCGATTAGGCGGCTAATTGAAGCGCCATGTACTACTAGACGAATTTCATGCAGCTAATCATAAACTTGCATTGCAGCCCTTTCTCAGGCAAAGGACGCCTTTCCACCAATTCATAGTCAGAAGTGCAAGTTTCTCCGACGGATAAAAGGCTACCGTGCCGAGCTGTGTTCGCGATGCTCGCCATGTACTTTCCAAACGTCGACAAGGTAGCCCCAGCCACTCGGTTGCAAAGGTGAGGAGCAAAGGCCCTTTCGGAACGCGTACGTTTTGGATAAAGTGTCAAGAGTCTAGGACTGAAAGGAGCTGCAAAGCCATGTCAGCGAGTCGCTCTATCCGGCGTGAATCAGCAATGCAACCCGCATCTTCACGGAGAAGACTACCCGTCTCCAGCAAGTGGCCAGGTATCGAATCGATTCTCAATCAAGTCTCGATGCCTGAATGTCTTTAACTGGTATAGATTGTCATTCGCCTAAAGTTATATGATTCCAACGATTCGCAAATCGTCATGACCAAGGTCGTCATAAGAATGACGCAGCATGCGACGGGTGCTGAGCTTCAGTGCAAGACTAGGCAAACCAAACACAGCAACTTCACCAAGCTCAAAAGCCAGCCAATCTACTTCTTCACCGTCGCCAGCTTTCCCCTTACTGGCACATTCTCCTCCCTGCCCACCTCGGGCAGCCCCTCCAGCTCGACCCCCTTCTGGAATACCAAGCAATGCGTGCTCCCTCCAAAATGAAACATGCCCAGCTCCTGGCCCTTTTCCAGATGCTGCCCTTCCTTGACCGTCACATCACACGTGCTCACCTCATCCATGCCAATGCCTACAAACGCCACAAGCCCAATATCCCTATTATCCGCCTCGAGCACAATCACCGCTCGCGCCGCCATGCAGGCCAGGTACCCCTGCGCGACACTAATGCCGCCCGTGTCAATCTCAGTCGTCCTCTCCGCGTCGCTGCTGCTGCCGCCGGGGCCTTCAAACAGCGGCTCGGAAAAGTACGTGCCGTCTACGACAAACGCGCGCTTGACGGTGCCGGACACGGGGCTGTGCCAGCGGTGGTACGACAGCGCAGAGAGAAAGGCCTGGTAGACGGTGCCGCCGACAAAGGGCGCCGCGAGCGCAGAGTCGTGTCCGAGCATGTCGAGGAGCGAGTAGCGCTGGCCCTTGGCGAAGAAGTGGTCGCGCAGCTGCGCATGGTGCTGGATGTTGAAGACTTTGGACTCGCAGGCGTTGGCAATGACGGAGGAGTCGTCGGGGCTGGCGACGGGACGGGCGGTGTCGTGGACTTTTCGGGTAAAGAAATCTGCCAAATAAAAGGTCGTAGTTTAGTACATATTTTTCCCTATTTTTTCCCCTTTTTTTCCCCACTCCCATGCTTTTTGTCTTTTGTTTGTTGTCGCATCTTTTCTTCGCAGGGAAAGGAGGGAATGAGTGAGCCACCACAAAAACGTACCATCCCAGGACTTGTATCCCATGTGCTTTGCGGTAGGATCGCACGCAAACATTTCTTCAAAGCTGTGGCTGGACTTGTACGGCGCATTGGCGACTTGCAAAAGGTCGTGACGGCCCGTCTCGCCGAACCAGCCCGTAGTGTGGTCTCCCAGGACAGACGCCGACGCGGGTGTCTTTATAACAAATCAGCAGGCGCTCATGATATCCTGCATCTTGCACGAAGCCAACTCACCTGCAGGTATTTACCCCATTCATTGAGGACTTTTTTCAATGCCTTGTTTACATCCGGGTCCAGAAACGCCGCGTGTCCGCTGTTCCCAGGAGGTCAGTCTCTGCCTACATTTCCCTGCTACATCTTTTGTGCTTCTCTCGCCCCCCCTCTTCTTCTTCTTCTTCTTCTTCTTCTTCTTCTTCTTCTTCTTCTTCTTCATCCTTCCTTCTTTTTTCCTCTCTATACACATGTCATCACTCACCTCGGCGTCCCCATCGGATAATCAAACACCGCACACATCGGCACCCCCACCACGCCCATCGCCGCCGCCGTCCTTGTCCACTCTGGCGCCCTCGTCACAATGTGATTGAGCACTTTGAGCATGTGCTCATAGTCTCTCACCTGCTTCTGGCCCGCCGGATCCCGCAGGTACGGCGCCTTGCGCGGCACCTCTTCAAACATTTGCGTAAAGTACATGTACACCCGGGAGTTGCCCTCAATCAGCTCGCGAAACTCTTGCAGCGCGGGCGTGAGTCCGCCAGTGGCCGTGCGCTCCCCCGCGTCGACAGCGTCCACCACCTCGGCGAGGTATTGTCGGTGGATGCGGTGGTCGGCGGGCAGCCAAGCGCCGGGTCTTGTTTGCAAAAATTGCAGAGGTTAGGATATACGCTTTTGCCATGGGAGATCGAAATGATGGCAGGAAAGGGGCTGTTGCAGCTCACTTGTATCTTCGGTGCTTCAAGGGAATATCATGATGATCGCCGTGCTGATGAACCATGGTCGCTAGATGTTGAAGGAATGGCTGTTCAAGACTGAAAGAAACAAGGCGTCAATTACTTGAATAGTCGAAAAAGAAATTAGAGGGATCAATAAATCTTACTTTGGTTCTATTATATAACTGCTCAATTCGAAGCTCCGCTGCCGCGTTATCCGGCACGCGATGCTGAGCCTCCTCGTGGTGATGTGCAGATGACGTACATGACCAAACTCACCCGGTTAAACCACGCAACTCGGATATACGGGCGGCATGAGCATTGCCGAATTCGCCCTTGCACATGTATTTAATGTAAGCAGTCGTTCAGAGTATTTCATATTCTACCTTCTGACCGCAGATGATTTTGTTTTTGGCGCAGTTTCCTCTTAAAGAGGCTGCCTTCCTAGCTAGGCGAGGCTTTGATTGATTGATTATTAGTTAGCTTCCATTCCACGTGTGTGGGATACCCCATAGATCTATGAGACAATGAAGCGTGCAAAGCGTGGGGGGCATTATGCTCCGCAGATGTTTTAGAGGCATTGGGACGGTATGTCTAGCTGCCCGAGACAATGTTTCGTGCATGTCGGGTTGGAAATTCCCAGTCTGGGCTGGCATTTATCAACAGTTTTGTCAGTCATAAGCCAGCATTGGGGCTCAATTGTCTAGTAGAAGCCTCACTGAGTTGAATGGATGCGCTATTGCGGTGTCTCTCGTGTTGGGCTCTGTTCAATAGATGCCCGAGAATCAAGATTCCACGCTTGAGTCATGCGTGGTTGCTCCGCGTTCTGTCCAACCGCGCAACATCGTTTCGGCCAAAACTTTCGATGGTCCTCGCCTTTCCACCCGTAGATTTCATGGAATTGGTCAGCGGTTTCAGAATGTCGGACTAATAGGAAAGTCTAGGCCAGGTGCTGACTCTTGTGCTACCACTGGCCAGCGCTAGTTAGCCAATGCTCTGCAGCTGAGGCCCGCTGCTGCAACCATCTTTCCTCGGGGGTCCTGTATGCGACCAATTGTCGGATATACAGTCTTGTAGGGTTGTGGCATATCGGTGACTAGCAGCGGCAGTCCCAAATGGCCTCGTCCGAGCTACAGCAAAAGCTCGACCAGTTTTGATGGTATCCGTTGCTGGCGCGGCCGGTGCAGTTCAGCAGAGAGATGCCAAGGAATGTCAAAGAGGTTGCATGGCTCGAAATGGAATTGCAACAGTTGCCAAAGAAGAGTCAGTGCGTGCGTGTGCCAGGGCCAAGACAACGACAAAGGGACACGATGCGTCCTCGCCGCGTGCGACGTCGCTCAGTACCAATGCTGTCAGAAACATGGCTTCCCTGTCGTATCTGCTGGTAGCCGCAGCTTGAAACGCTGAACATGATTTCTTCCTATTCAGGACTGTATGCAAGTCTCGTAATGGGAGTGCGTGGACACAAGGAGTGCTCGAAAGCAGGTGTTGTGGAATATCCTTGTCAGTGCAACCAGTCACTTGTGTCTGCGATTCTCGCAGAACAACCGTCTTTTGTAGATTTAGGCTTCGACTCGTACCACAGCAGTCACGACCTGACGTGACCTCAGGCGTGTGTAACAGAGGAAGCCTCGTGTTTTGGAGTGGTGATACGTCAACGTTTGCTGCAACCCACAGCACACGAGCCCAACGCCAGCTTAGAACCAATACAGTGGCACTCTCCCAACAGACAACGACGATTCCACAACGTAGAATATGAAATTCGCTGGGCCACTACAATCGCCTAACCCGCCGACATTCTAGCGACGAGGAGAGAACTTTTCACCTACACCAAGCACAGTGCGACTGATGGCCAAGACATTTATGTGCAAGAGAGGCCGGTGCCCAAGAAGTCATATGCTCTCTATACATGGTGGGCTGAGAAGAATGCCGACCGGAAAGTGTAAAGCGGTCTTTTCCAGAGTAAGTTATGCAGATATGCATGAATTTTGCGGCGTCGGGCCGTTGGCGAAGAGCGATGGAAGCAACAGCAGAATCACAAGAATGCAGACTATTGGTCGGGCATCTGTCCGCCGGAGCTTTGACAGGCAAGGTGTAGAGGGCGGAGGCGTGGTAGCGAGACAATCATTGGAAGACGGTGCATTGCGCAAGCCGTGCGGTTGCAGCAAGGCCCCGGATTGAGGAGTATGACTGGCATAACAGCGTGCATAATGGAGGAGGCTGGTGGACGCTGGATCGGCACGAAACATACGCCTATACAAGTGGTCCCGAGAGAAACAAGCGGCAACGAATGAGTCGGCTTGCCGGGAAGCAGAGGGGAGCTAATGCTGCAGACCACGAGTTTAGTTTCCCCTGCAGGGCATAAGCGGCAGCATCAACGAGGCAAATATGCAAAAGAACAGATGCAGTGACCCCACACAGTGCGGTGGGTGAGTTCTGAAGAGCTGAAAGAATGGCGGTACGAGAGAGTGATTGCAGAGGTTAGAGACGGGGCTCGTTCTGAGGTCGGACAAGGAAAGATGGACGGGAAGCAGGCTGCTGGTTGCCGAAAGGAAGCAGGATGCTTGTCTTGTCAGAGCGGTTGAGCGGGCCAAACTTGGATTGGTTATTTCGGAATGAAAAGCAGTGTGGCGGACAACGGGGAAGTGGAATTGCGATGCCGTTGGGCGAGCAGCGAGCAATGTGAAGCTTGTTGCGAGAAACTGACCAATATCGAGTCGAGAAACGAATCGCTGGGATGTCAGTCTTGCGAGACATGCGCCAATTTTGGGCGCCAGAGGAGAGTGGTGCTGCCCACGAATTAGCCACGGGAACGAAAAGATGAAGCCGAATCTGCAGATATGATACGATTTTGATTGTGAGCTGAGTATTGGAGGCAGAATGGATCGGGCATCTAGATACTTTGTTGCTTTGGTCGGCGACGGTGCGATGGCCGCTCCGCCGAGAGAGGGATGCAGAGGTGGGTTGAAGAGGGGTGTAACGAGCCAACGAGCGATGGTCGTCTCCGCGGTTGATGAAGCGAACTGGCTGGTGGTGGTGGTGCAGATTGGTGTCCACGTTGTCTCTGTCGCGCGGGAAGGAGGGATGTCTTGGTCCGGGCCAAAATGGGAAATGGTAGTGACAAAAATAGATGGCAGCGACAAGGGGACGTTGGAGAGTAAGACACGGAGAAGGACAGGGTAGTGAAGAAGCGGGACGGAAAATAGGGAAACAAAGAGGTAATTGTATGATGTAAAAAGCAAAAGCTAATGGATGGTACCAGATGGACGAATGAATGGGTGGGTGTATGGATACCTAGGTACCTACCTATTGTATCTATTGTATGGATGGATGGGGTGGCAAGCAAACGCAGGCAATGAAGCTGGCAGCTGGCAACGCGCCGGATATCGCCAATTGACACTCGGCCGGTGACGGTCATGGAAAATAAAAGGTATAGACCTCAGTACCTCTTCCATGTGCATATCCAGAGCTTCGGTGTGTAAGGCCCATGACATGTCTGTTCTGTGTATGAAAAAAGCAAATCTAGCGCAATGAAGTACTTGAATTGCAATTGCAGCTGGCAGCAATAGCAGGGCTAGAAAATGCACCAGTGCATCGGGACGGCTGAAGCCGGTGGCCTTTCAATAGGTAGGCGTTTCGCTTCTCAGACAATGCACGGTGCCTGCAAATGCAAAGGGTCTAGGCAAGTACTCCGTAGGCGACGGGCGTTTCCATGCCACACAATGCTAGTTTTGGTGGTTTGGTTGGGATGGTGTCTGCTTGACCATGCATCTACTTGCAGATGCAGGGCTCAGCCTCCATTCAAGATTGAAACGAAGAGCGCGAAACATGCAGGCAGCCTCGCGTTTTCAAGGTTATAGCAGGATTGGGTTAATTCAGCCTTTTGTTTTGTTTTGCCGCTCATGTGCATGCGGTTATATTCCACCAGCAACTCACCTGGTATAATATGCGGCGGCCCGACCGGGATCGGGAACATTGGGCTGGCGTTGGTGGCACAAGGGGCAGCTCAAGAAAACGACCAGGACAAGAACCAGCTAATGACTAAGTATTTCGGGGGCAAGAGAGGTGGAAGCAAGGGACAAGATATAGGCCGGGTTGTTATAGCACAGATTATCAGTAGATGTTGGTGGCTATTCATGTGAATGAAGTCGGGGTAAATGGTCCAGGAGGGGAGTCGAGCCGGCCCATCTATATGTCGAGAGTCAATGTAACAGGGTGGATGGTGCATTTGTGGTGCATTTGGTGGCTGGTGATTATCGACGTCGGTTCGTTGCCGTTTCTGGCTTGGCTTATCGGATGTATGCCTTGTATTTCACAAGGGGCCATTTTGCGAGTTTGGTACGTATATACGGGTTGCTTTGCAGCGGCTGCTGCCTTGTCCAGTTTGTCGTGTCGGTGTCGGGTCAGCCTCAGAAGGAGCGCAGCCCAACTGGGCCAGATTTGAGACATTGCCCTTGAGTGATTCGCGTGCGGCCAGGGTGTCCAGGCACCGAGACAAAGACACAACGACATGGGCAGGGGATATGGAAGGACAAGGGCAGGACCGCAAGCGCATGTGGTGGCGCGCCGTTAGGGCAGCCTAATCTGGTAATTCTGGTGCAGGCGGGTCGGAGCCGGCGAGAGCTTAGTCGTGGCCATTGGAGCAGTCCAGGTGGCGTCCAGGGTGGGCGAATCCATGTCTGGTACAACAGTAACTAGCGTGGGCGATGGCGCGGGTGCAAGTTGTGATGGGCGGCGGCGATGCGTGGTAGTGGCGGGATGCGTGGCAAGATAGTGGTGGTGGTGATGGTGGTGATGGTGATGGTGGGTGACGGAGATGGTGGGTGACGGAGATGGTGGTGGTGATGGGCGGTATTCGCAAGCTGCCGAGGTGGCCGGGCAAGGTGAGGTTGGCCTGCACAATGGGATATTCCATGGATATACAAGTAATAAAGCGCCACATCAGATTGGCGTTGGGTGAAGACGAGCAAGGTTTCTGGTATTGATAAGTAATGAAGACGGAGACGGTCTGTGGGCGCAGGATAACGGTGGGCTGGTGGATGGCGGCCACATGCGTACCCGCCCCTTGTGATGATGACTTGTGTCTGTGCAACTGTGCAACTGTGCAAATGTGCAAATGTGCAAGTGTGCAAGTCCGGCCGTATTAGTACAGCCGTGGTCAAAAGTTCAAACAAGAATTGTCAAGGCGAATGGGCGGGCTGCAACTTTTTGAGAGCAGGCTACCTAGTTGGACAAGGCAAGGCAAGCAGGGCAAGGCAAGGCGAGGCGTGCTGTTGTGTTTTGTTGTGTGTGGTGGTGCCTTGGACGGGCTCGTGGGCTCGTATTTGGGGCATGGCGGCAGCCCTCCACTTTGGGGTGCATGTTCCACCAAAATGCATCATGATGATAGTAAGTTGTTGTTGTTGTTGTTGTTGTTGTTGTTGTTTTGTTGATATCTTTGCTGCATGCATTGACGTGTTTGTTTGGTGATGATGGTGAGGAAAAGGGTATTCATAAAGGCAAAGCCACACATCTGCGCCACAGCACCGCTAATCCCTAACGTTAAAGGCAGAGCCGTAGAAGCAGAGGCTTATTTTTGGCGAGACAGGTCTTGTACTAAGAATAGGTAGGTAGGTAACCAACGTTGTTGCCCCTGCCGTTGCTGCTACTGGCATGACGGTCAAACGCTGGTCAACTTTAACAATTGACGCTTAACCTATTTGTCTATTCCTGCTCCATCCCAGCTCACTGCCTACTTACCAAGTTACCAGCAGTATGGATACCCTTTCACTACCTAGCTTTTTAGGTAGGTAGCCAGTCAGTCATCAACCCGTCTTCTGCCTGTTCGCTTCGGCCCCTCCTCCGACCTCGTCGTCACTCTCCCCTCTTTTGCGCTTTTGCACTTTCGTGTTTTGCTCCTTTCCTCTCTTGGCTCTCTTCCTTTCCCTTTCTTTTCCTCTCCTCCTTTGAATCATCACCACATTGATTCGTCTTACCTATTCCATCCTTTGCTATACTTTCTTCTGTCAACTCTCCTCCCCCCCCTTCTTCATCGCACCCCTCCACCTATCTCCCCCTCCCCTCCCCTCCCCTTCCCCCTTGACCCTTCACACCCAATTGCACTTTTTTCCACACCCTCCCCTTGCCCATTGATTAATTTACTTATTTTTTTCCCTCTTTGGCGGGCCGTTGTCCTCACCTCAAGGTCCCCCGTCTTCACACCATCTCACCTTGCTACACCTGCGTCTGATCCCCGTTGCCTCTTTCCTTTTCTTTTTGGTCCCTTTCCCACCGAGGCTGTGTCTGGGCAGAGAGAGATTGGGCGGCAGAGAGGAAACAAGCAAATCAACAGCCCTGATATCTTTCCATGGTCCGATCATTCATCGTACTATCCCCGGCATTCGGCAGTCGGGGCTTTGCATCGCCCAACATCATCAACCATCCACCTGTGGCCTCTCTCTTTTAATAGCTCTTGGCCAGCTTGCAGCCTCTTCTTTTAACGCTCGCTTGTGTCATTCGTTTTTCGCCCGCCATACAACTACCACAATTCATCATATATTTTCGGCTAGTCTTTTCTCTTCAACGCCTCACTTCTTCTTTGTTCGGCTTCCCATTGTCGTCTTCCCGGAGCACCACTTGGCTGTGTGTTTGCTCTGCCTTGCTTTGACTAGCTCGACACGCGTCCTTGTGGCCATCTCGTCGCCGCCTCGTCTCCATCTTATCGCCTACCATACATACTCTTTCCCGCCAATGCGCCTCGTCTCGTCGACTTGCTCGCACACCTAACTCTTGGCCACCAATTGGCTTTTGCCTCGTCGCAACCCAATCAACTCATCCGCTTACCGCATACGTGCGCTTCCCCGTCATCGCCATACCCGCTGAGGCTCCCCCCGATTGTCTGCTCCGCCATACTTGGACCTCCCTCGCAAACTCTATTCTTATTAGGTCCGCGCCTATTCTATCAGCCCTCCCCCGCGGGTCCACGTCTACGCACATCTGCCAGCTCGCATTGTTGCCCGATTCTGTCGTTCGACTGTACCACGTTTGGGCATCTTGAATCGCCGCCCTTCATCGTTGCCTTTTCTACATTACCTTCTCCCCACACCCTCTTGGCGCCTTTGCACCCCTGTGCTGCTGCTCTGCACCTTGACTAGTCTTCAGCCTCCATCTACATCCACCTCGTGTTCTTGTCGTGCTTCCTCTTGAAGCTCTCACGCCGCTCTCACAGACTGTATCGAAATCTCACTCGTTTTCAAACAGTCCTTCTTTTCGTCAACATATCCTGCAGCTACTCTTGGGCCATAACTCTCAGTCGTCGTCCTGTCAATTTGTCTCACCTACCGAAACTGTCTCTTCAGCTGACTTGTCAACCTTTTTCGTCATTACCCCCAGACTTCATCACCCGACATGCCTAAATGAGCTTGGAATGCTCCATTCATAGATTCCGCACGCCTCTTTTGGTCCATCTTCGCCACTGTTCTTGAGCTGGCCGCCACATCCAGCTTGCTTGCCGATTTGTCCACCCTGCGCATCGACAAAGGGAAAAGAAGCCAGTTCAAGTCGATACTGCTCGCTCACACGACCCGTATGCTTACCCTCCCCCTCTTCTGCCAGCCCCGGTTTTTTTTTTTTACATAGCTTGTATTTCTTTCACAATTCCTCTGTCTCTGTATTGATCTGCCAATTTCTGCACTTATTCTGCACATATTTCGCACCTATTTGCCGCTATTTTGTACCTGCACCTGTTCTGCAACTTTCCACACCTGTCATTAAATGTCTTCCTCTGCTCTTGCACGCCTCTTACTTCTTCCTTGCCCGCTACGTGGCCTCGCTCAATGACAGTATGCTGACCCTTCAGAACCAGCCAACACCTGCGTACGGTTATCGACCTACTCATGACCTGCCGACACCGCCCCCGGCCATCTACTCCCCAGTCCTGACCTCTTCTTTAACTGCTTTCCCGCCATCTTGCCGAGAGCCTCCAGAGCCTCGCATCATGTCGGTACCTCACCGCGGCCTTCCGCCGCCCCCGGCCATGTCCTTGACACCTCAGCAAGCTCCAGCTCCCCATCCGCCCGTTCACCCACCGTCTCACCAACCTCCGCCTCCCGTTCACCACAGCCAACAGCCTCCGATGCCGCCGCAATCTCACCCTCCACCTCATCCTGCAACTCATCCTGCACCTCATCCTGCACCTCTTCATCATCACAGAGACTCATGGGCTGCCACTTCCGCCCCTCCGCCTCCGACTTCTTTACCGCCCCCGCCACATCACTGGTCTACTTCAGATGAGTCTATGCGCTTCTGGCTGCAAGCCCGGACCGAAGAAGAAAGAACGCGGCAGGAACAGGAGAAGACAAGACAGGAAGGACTTCGTTTAGAGCAACGCAAGATTGAAAGCGACATGCTCAACTCTTCACTAAACGGTGGAATCCCTCCTCCCATGATTCCTTTGGTCTTTACTGGCATGGCCAGCGGCGGCGTTCTACCCCAAGCTGCCTTGGACTGGGCTCAACAATACATGGCCTCGCAATCCCAGTATCATCAGTTGCCTGCTCCGCCTCGACCAATCTCGCCCGAGTCTCATCGTGAGGCTGCTGCTCAATCTTCGGCTTCATACCACCCACCTAATCTTCCACCACCAGTGCAGGGAGGCACATACGCTGCTTATGCAACTTCACCAACGCGGCCTCGGGGCTCGACTGTCTCTGGCCAAATGACTCGTCCAGCTGCCGGTTCCACTATCTCATCAGCAGGGTCAAACACACCTCAATCCGCAGGGCTTCAACCAAGCACCTCGACACTGGGCCCGTTTCCGCCTCATCAGTCTGGCGCGGGGCAGTCATCACAGCAAGACTCTCAACTTTTCTTTCATCACTGGCAACCTCCTGTAACACAGCCAGGACAGTCCTCGGGGGCATCAAACAGGCCCAGCAGTCCAGCAGGCGAGTCGCACAAGAAGCGCAAAGCCGGAGCAGATTCGTCCCACCACAGCCGCACGAGTAGCACGCAACGTCCACGATCCCCGCCGCCGCTTTCTCAGCGCGATTTTGGAGGCGCCCCAGCCCGCAGATTACACAAACGGCACAAAAGCGACGTTTCTTGGTATCACGGGCCCCGACATGGCATGGGGTCCAGTCACGACTCGGCACACCGCGCTCGAACTCCTGCACAGGATAACTCTTCGACGTCGTCCAAGGATCGAGAGCTAGCTGAAGGTAGTACTCTGAAATGTTTTATGATGTCATTTCCACTAACTTGTAAAAGGATCTCGCCGAGACTCACAACCAGAGACGTATTCACGGCCCCGTCATGAGGATGAAGGACAATCCCGAGACCGCCAACGAGAACGAGAACGAGAACCTACTACAGGCCCAGGCGAAAGGACCGCGTAGCATGTCGAACTCCTTGAAACGTTTTCCTCTGCTTAGACATGCATCATTTTTACACGACACGAATCTTATGAACAAGTCACGTCGACAAGAACGAATTTTCTTTGTCACTTGCGTCATTTCAGCATGGGAATGCGGGACATGATAATGATGATGATGCACGTTAGTGTGTCGAGATGCAATTGGCATCAAAGTTTGGATGCGCTACTAGGCTGCGTCTTTTTCCCTTCTGCCTTGCTGGGTTGTGTTCATTTTGGATGCTATCGCTGAGATTACGGTTTGGCTTTTTCACACCTTTGGTTCTTCACAACTATGGTCTTGTTACAACTATAGTGTTGTCACAATCTTCGTTTCATTTGCTGTCATTTATCTGTACTTGATCTGTTTTTGTTTTTTTTTCTATTGCGTCCAACTGCTCTTTTTGAGCAGGCAACACATTTAGTTTTTCTTTCCTTCTCCTCTCTTCTGCTTGGGAAACGCTGCAACGTCTTCGCGATCAGAACTGGTCATTGTTGGGATGATGCCAGAGCGGATCCGCGATGAGACTTGCACACTGGAGTTTTGGAAATGTATATAGAAAAGCATATGAATTTATCTTGGTCATGATGGGCTCGGACTTTTTTTTTCCTTCCTTTTACTCTACAATCTGCAAGTAAGCTGCCTTTTTTATCGACACTACGAAACATGTCACAAATTTCTGCGTAATGGTCTCTGTGAGGAGGGCTGTGAAGAGGTAGATTTTGGTACAAAAGTTTCCATTTGTTTATTTCCCTTCAACTTCGCGTCCGCACCACCAATAAAACTCCTCATCACCCATGCAATGCTTTTCCCTTGTGTTGCTCGATACTTTTAATGCACCTTGAAAGAGATGAGAGTCGAGCTCGACTACATCAAATTCATTATCCCTTTGCTGGAAAAAAAAAAAAAGAAAAGCATGTAAACAGGGGAAAACAAAGGAGAGGGTATAAGAGAGAAGAAAAAAACAGAAAAGAAAAGAGGAAATGCTAGGCTAAAATGGCAAGTGCTCTTTTTTTGCGCTGCAATGCCGGGTAGAGAAGAAAAACAAGAGGAGGGAAAAGGGGGGTTTAGGAACAGGGTATCTATCGTAATGGTAAGATTAAAAAGAAAAAAAACCATAACAACATAACATAGGGAAAGGGTACAAAGGAATGTATTGGTGAGTGTCGGCTACTTGAGGGGGTATGAGAAGGAAAAGAAAGCAAAAAAAAACACCAGAACCCAGTATCATATCCATCCATGCGAGAGAAAAAGGGAGAAATGCTTCGAGTAAAGCATAAATTAAAGGTTTCAAAAGGACAAGAGGAAAAAAGAATCATGACCGTTTCTTAAGCTGAGTCTTCCACTCGGCCCTCGTCACCTTCATGAGTAGGTCCTCATCCTTGACAGGAATCCACGCCGTGAGTGCCTTCATTGCATTTTCAAAGTCGGAATCGAGTAGCACCTCGCGGAGGGCCTGTATAATGGCCGCGCTCGTCGCATGCAGGACATCGAGCCCGCTGCTGCTACTGCTGCTGCTCGGCGCCGTTGTTGCAGACTTTTCCTTGGTCATGGATGGCAGGGACAGGTGACTCGTAGTGCTCGTCGGTTTCGGCGTCGGCGAATCCGCCGCGGCGGCTGCGGCGGGTGTTGGAGGCAACTCGCCCTGGGCGGCGTCGCCCAGGAGCAGGAACACGTCCCAGACGCGCAGCTGCGCGGCAAAGGGGATCGAGAGGTTAAACAGCGTGAGGTACCAGCGTGTGCCGTAGGCGGTGCTGTCGATGCCCAGGTCAGCCATTTTGCGGGCAACGTCCTTGTGGAGCCAGGTGGTCTCGAACTCGCGCAGCGCCGCCATGAGGCCCTCAAAGCCGGGCTGGTAGAGGCGCTCGAGCCCTCGCAGCTGCCACATGCGCACGAGCATGACAAACGTCTTTTCCTCGTCAAAGTAGCAGAGAAGCGTCGCCGCCAGCGAAGCCATGCCCTGGACGTAGCCCGTTTCTTGAAAGTATAGTGATAGAGCATGGAGGACACGAAACAGGAGACGCTGACCGCCGCGGTACCGTCGTCGAAACATGATGTGGCGGCTGATGGTCCGAGGCACGTCAAGGTCGATTTGGATGTCGTCGGCCGAGGCGCTGTCTTGTAGGCGATGAAAGGCGGCGGTAATTTCCTCCTGAGTGGCAGAGCCCGGGTGCTCTTTGGCCGAAGTTGCGAGAAAAGACCACCAGGCGGCGGCGCGCCAGCGATCGGGGATGCCCTTCCATGTGCGCTCGATGAGCTTGGGATTCTTGGTGTCAAAGTCAAACTCCATGCCTTGGCCCTGCTCCCCCTTGCGCGTGACGCGAGCCATGCGCCGCCACTTTTCGGACCGTTCAATTTCCTTGCGCTTGAGGGCCTCGGATATCTTTTCGACGCGTGCCTCCTCGACGCTGTCTTGCAGGTTCGGCGATACGGTCAGCATGTCGCCGGCCTCGTCCATCCACCGACGATTTCTATTCTGCGGAAGCAGGTTGCCGGCCTGGCGAATGACGGAGCGCGAGGAGCGAAACGAGACGAGCGAAGCTTGAGAGTGTTGGGTATTCAATGAGCGCGCCGAGACTTTGCGGCTGGGCAGGCGTCCACCGCTGTGGGAGGAGGTGAAGCCCATTGGGTCGCGCTTGTAAAGGACGTTGCGGCGACGGGGCGAGTGGTGCAAGGAGCGCGAGTCGGTAGGTGTGCCAACGCGCGAGTGGCTGCGCGGAGTGCCAATGAAGCCATAACGGTCGACCATGGTGCTGTCGAGGTCGTCCCAATCCTCAAGGCCGCCGGCCGGGTCGGCGGGTTCCTTTGCGGCAGGATGGCCATTATTGTACTGCGACGAAGAGCTTACGGATCTTGGAACGGAAGAAGCTGGTGCGAGAGTATTTCCGTTTCTGGGTGTACGAAATGCAAGAGTCAGTATAGTTTGAGGCTGGATAAAGAGCGGCCGCAATGACCGGGGCGCCCTTAGGATGATCATACGCAGCGGACTCGTCGTCTTCGGTCAGGACCTCGGGGTGTGGCTCCAAGCGGTCGCAGTACGAGTGTCTGTCTCGTAAAGACGCGCTGGTGTCGCCCAAGGCATACAGCTGCCTGACTTTTTGCGACTCTTGTTCGACGTCGGGGGTCATGAGCTGGATGTCTGGCACGGGCGATGCGGCACGGGGCGGCGACACACGAATCTCGTCTTGGCCGGCGACGCAGCTAGCCGGCGACGTGGCAGGCCGGTGCACGGCGGCGGCGACGGACGAGGGCTGGGTGTGCGTAGCGCTGCGGTCGTCTTCGGTGAGGGACAGGCGGTGCATGGCGCCGATGTTGTCGGGGTCAAACATGAGGCTGCCGCGCTTGGAAAAATGTAGAGACGAGAGAAAATCGTCATCCAGCAGGCTCTCGGTGGGAATGTCAATGCCTAGGGGTGAAAAGTCGGCGGCGCTGTCGCGGTCGGGGTCAGAAGAAGAAGACGACATGGCCTGCGGCGATCGGGAGGAGCTCTGCGCAGGGGACACGGCTGGCTCTGGCAGTGGCTGAAGCTTGGCGGGGGCTGGGGCCAGGGTCGTGGTACCAGGACCAAGGTCGGCAACGGTCTTTTCGTGGCGGGCAGGGCTAGAAATAACAGCAGGGCTTGTATGCCTACGATTACTTTGACCAGCAGTCGAGCCGCCCCCCACTTGGGAGACGCTGTGCCAACGTCGAGGGGTTGTTGTCGGCGCGGGCGCGTGCTCGTGTTGAGGGTAAGCCGTAGTGGCGCCGTCGTCGCGGGGGCCGCTCCAAAAGGGGAGGCGCAGGCTGTGTCGCTTGAATATCTTGCCGCGGCGGGACGGAGAGCGGGCGGGCAAAGGAGGCGGCGAGGCAAGGACGGGAAGGAAGTCGGTGGCGGTAATGCTGGCGGCAGCAGCAGGATGTTTCGAGGAGGAAGAGGGAGAAAAAGGGGAGGATGAGGACGAGAAAGAGGTAGGAAAGGCCAGATCGAGGGGAGCAATAACAGACGCTGTCCTCATCTGAGAGGCCCCAGCGGCTGTAACAGCCACAAGGCTATCGCTATTATTAGTGGGCGTTTCAGTGGCACAGGCGCTGTTATTAGCAGCAGTGCTAGCGCCCAGCCTGGCGGTGCAGGCCGCGGCAGCCCGCACCTCATTTAAGCTTTGGCGGCGCGGTTTGGCATTGCCAGAAATAGCAGCAGAGCTGGTATAATTTACCAACGCAGGGCTTTGTTGGTGAGAGGCTGCTGCCGAAATGGCGTCATTGGACCGTCGCCGCCGCTTCTCGACAAAGCAGTCATCGTCGTCGTCATTTTTATCGTTGACTTGCCCGGCCACGTCGAAACGCTCCTCCTCGAGAATCGTGTCCTTGATGATGGCGCTGCCATGGCCAGAATCCCGCTTCCACTCGTCGAGCAAAGGCTGTCGCGGGGAGCGCAGCGCGGGGTGCTGCTCCGTCGGGGGCGCCACGACGGGCAAGCTCAGGCGCGACGGCGGCGGCGCAACGACGATGACGCCGCTGGCGCCGTGGATAGAGGTGGCCGCGGTCCCGGCCAGCGAGACGGCGGAGATGGACGCCGCGCACGAGTACCCCGAAGACGACGTCGTGGTCGAGCTGGACGACGAGCGCTGCAGCGGCGACGGCCTGGGACGTGCGGACGCGGGAGTGACGGTGGTGGCCTGGCGCGGCGACGGGGTGATGTGAATGGGCGGCTCGGCGGCGACGGTCTTGTCGTAGCGGAAACCAACCAGGCTGGAGTCGTCGCGAAAAGTTGGCTTGCGGACAACGGCAGGCCTGCTGCCGCACCTTGCTGAGCTGAAGCGTGTGGGCGGCGTCATGACGGCCGAGACTGCACTTGTGTGGCGTTTGTTGCCGGGAGCTGCGAGCAGCATGTGCCGAAAAGTCAACGCAGCTAGGTGGTGAATGTGAGAAAATTGGCTTGGTACTGGCGGCACTGGGTGTTGCGTTGTCGAATCTGAGCGACTTGAATCTTTCCCCAGGTCTTGCTTCTGTCGGCTGTGGCGCATACAATGTCGTTATTCAGTGTCAAAGACGGGAATGGCCGAATTTTGAGCTTCTATGTAGACCTTTGGAAACAGTGTACGAGAGCGGGAAACAGACAAGAGCGTTTAAATCTGGTTCAATAGATGGTGATTTCTCGACAGCGTGTAAAGCAGGCCGGACAGACGACAATGTTAATCGAGGCGCAAAGGTGTAGATGGCTGGGCTATGCGAAAAGCGGTCTAGGCTGCTTCTTTGTCTTGCCCTGTCGGCTGGTTTGTCTTGGACACTGGTATCCTGAGATTCTTGCGGTGAGAATGGCTGGCGACTTGATGAAGCAGTGTAGGTGGTGAATAATGGCGTGGTGTGTGTGTGTGTGTGTGCGTGTGTGCGTGTGTTGTATGTGCTGTGTGTGTGTGCGTCTTGGTAGCGGCGATACGCAAACGGCGACGATTTGTTGGTGTTGCTGTTTGTTATAGGAGAGCAGCAGACGTAGGACGAGGGATGGGAGGAGGGGGGGGAACACAACTAAATGTATGGGCAAAGTCTGCAAAAGGTTTTGGGAAAGAAGAAGAAAAGGAAACAATGAGTCAAAAAAAAGGTCAGAGACAATTGGTACACATGGCACAGCGACAACACACACACACACACACACACATACAAGGCACGCACGCGCACACATCTCACGACACACCTTGTCTCTAGCGTGCCGAAAAGAGCGGCGTGCCGGCAAAAGCAGAGAAAGTGACAGGCGGACAAGCACAAGCAAAGGCCCTGGTTTAGGCTGCAAAGGGGGCTCACATGCAACCATGGATCCCCCGGCTCCATAAGGTAGTCAGGTAGTCGCTGCAGGACTGCATGTACTCCGTACAAGCGATAATACATTTCTCTTTTTTTTCTGTAATAAATTATTTTTTTTTTCGGCTACTTACCCAGTTCTAGGCCTAGATTCCCGCCCACAAATCGCGCCTTGTTGAACCCGGCGCACCCGGCTGGTTGACACAACTCGCCTAGTGGAGACGCCAGCGCAGTGGGTGGAACAAGTTACAAGGGAAGATGTCAGTGACTTGTGCTGCAGTGCCGTTTTGTGCGCTGGCGCATGTATTCTTGTGTCCCAAGTCCACCAGTCTCTAACTTGCCTGTTTCATTTTTTTTTTCTATTTTTTTTTTTCCAATTCTCTATTTTATTTTGTCTTGTCCTTCTCCGAGTCTCTCTCTTTCTTGTCGCTACTGACCTACTCATGACTCTGATGGCCTGTTGTCCCTGTCACACAGTGTAGACGCCTGCAATCTTATTGCAACCTCCGTGTTGCGCCAGGCGTTGTTCTAGCTTGGCTTTGTGCATCACAGGTACAGGAGTCAAATCGAGACCGCAAGGTCATCACAGATGCACAGGCGCATCAAGAATTCCATTCCCCCAAAGCATCATGTGAGCCCCGGTTCCCTGAACTTGTCAAGTACCGGTACCTGTTGGCTTTACCCTCCAAGTGCTTGCCACTCACTCCTGGTTGGCTGATTCGACTTTTCTTAGCCTCCGGTGCCGGCAAGAAACCGAACGCTCAACAATCCAAGGCTGCCCAATGTACTGGGTATATCCGTCGTTGGATTGTACATACATACGTCTGCCAACGCCGTAAACCCACACACACACATCGACAAGAATGCAGCTAGTAGGCGGGACAGCGCGGTGCGGATATCCGTCCATGCCCATTTTTGTCTTTGATGCAGAAACCTGAGTGGCTCTCCCCCGCCACTAGCCCACCATCTTGTCCGGTGTGTGTGTGCGGCTCCAAGCTAGGAACCACTGGCTCGGTGGGCTTATTAGAACATGGCATGAACGGCTATTGAGGACCCTGTTATTGTCCCTCGACGAGTTTTTTTTTGTTCTTCTTCTCGGCCCTGATTACGATGGCCCTACCTTGGAGTCCGAAGCCTTCATCGGGGCCCGTCGCATTGCCAGACGTTGCATACTTGAAGCCCCGTCAGTAACCAACCGATGAGAGACACGGCAGGCATTGGCAGGCAATAAGGCCACTCGATCACTGCACTGCAGCAAAGTAGACCCTGGCACACACCCTGGGCAGCCAGCCCTTCTGCATTGGGCAATTAAACCACGTCCAATCCCAGCATGACAAGTTTGCCCTACTGCAGGTACCACGTCCGCCTAGTCACCGCTGCCACCACACCGCTGCCCAAAGTGGCCCAAGGCACTGGCATGTTGTGTGTACACCGCACTTCAAAGCTTTGTTCTTTCTTTTGACAAGATTGACTAAGTATTAGCCAAAACCCCTAAATTCTTCTTTCACAAGCAGAAATGAAAATCCATTTCTTCTTTAGCTCGTCACCGTCGACGCGATGACACGACGTGGGAGTTGGCTCTACGTCCGTCGCACCGCATCTTTTACATAAAGTTTGCCACTTGTGCCGGAGATTAAACCAGCCGCCGTCTAGTCGAAAAAACTAGAACGAAAGAGGCCCCTTTGAGTGGGGGCAACAATCGGAGAAAAGAATTAAAGTATGAAGGCAGATGTCACTGATGAGATGGTGGCTTTTGTTCATTTTTTTTTTCATTGATTATTTGCTTTTTGATGCCTTTTCTTTTCCCAAATTTCTTCACGTGCTGCATGCACTCTAATGCAGCCGCCCTCCCCACACCGATCAAAAGAAAGCGAATCAGCAGCCCAGAAACCGTTGAGAAGCCGTCAACCACTGTGCCACTACAACGACGCCACGCGCACTGTAACATGCAGAAAAACTCACTGGTCAAAAATAACATCACCACAACTGAGGGCAGGCAGGCAGGCAGCCAAGCAATAATCACTGCAGCGATCAGCGTACCCTGCCTGCCTGCCAGGAAGCCTCTGCTTGGCTGTGCGCGATAGGCCCAGCGTAAAACAGATATTCGTAGTGGTGTATTCATTTCCCTAGCTGAGATTTATGACTGCTACGTATATAGCCAAGACCATCAGGTCAAAACCGCATACGAGATGGCAACTTGCGCCTAAAAAAAAAATGGCATAGCATCGCAACGAACTTTCAAGTCACAGCGTCAGACGAGGCTTACAAGGAAAAAGGCAACAGAAGGATGCTTTGATGTTGAGAGGCGCGCTCCTCAATGACAAAAATTGCCCCCATTTTCACGGCCGCACCCTGTCTCTCTCTTATCTCGTTCAAAATTTGTCTCGTCTCAGGTCTACCTACACCCGGCTGGCCGGCCGGCCGGCTGGCAGTTGAATCGCGCTCCCGCTGCGTGACGTCCGAGACAGCCGTTGCGCCACGAGAACACGGGGCAATGAACGACTGCTTTTCTCTCTCTCTGTGCACGTGCAAAAATAAAAACAAAAATAAACCTCAATTCTTGGAAGCAACGAGCCCGGCAGGCATCTAGAATTACCGGTTTTTTCTACATACCTGCATGTTTACCTTGTGCGAGAGCAGAAAAGGAAGAGAGACTGGTGCTTTGCGCGGCGCCTGGTGGGAAAAGCGCCAGGATCCAGGTGACTGATGATGGGCAGCAACCTCGCACCCCAACATTCACTTTCGCCTGGCGAGGTAGTGAAATTTGTAGAACCAGTTACTGGACTAATTGGTCGTGTTTTCTTTTCTTTTCTTTTCTTTTCTTTTCTTTTCTTTTCTTTTTTTTTAAAAAAAAAAAAGTGCCAGCTCATCACCTATTGCTGACTGATGACAGCGCACTCTGTCCATTATGCATCAACACCCATGTCAGGCAGCAGCGCCCTTTCCTTGACCCTCGCGACTCTATTGCGTCGCAGTGACGGCTTATTAACTCGGCAGCTGTCCACTTCCACTGGCAACTTTTCTTTTCAAAGTTCACGGGCCTCCGGTTGTAAATAGTAATCTGGGCGTGGGGGCGGGGTTCGACCGACGCCCGTCGCCTTTCTATGACGGAGGCAGTCCGGCTATTCTAGTTAACTACGCCCGCACACCCATCAAAACATCCACTTACAGTGATACCCTGTATAGTTCGCAACTTGGCAAAGAAAAATTCTCTTCCTTCTTCTTTCCTTTGAGTCTGAAACAGTTTTGCGCACTGATAATTGTTGGAGAAGAACGTCGTCAACGCCGTCAATTCGTTTCGAGTCGCTGGTGGATAAACCCCCTGGTGTGACTGGAAAGGAAAGCTGCGACTTGTCCCATGCTCATGTCGAAGCAGCCAGCGCCTACATACTCGTCACAATCACAATCACCCGCAAAAACCCTTTTTTTCCCCAGTCTAATTTCATCACCCAGGGTTCTAGATCATTCGTTTATGCAACCACTTTAACACAGAAAGAGGGTCCTCTTTCTTCCCGTCGCTTCCCTTGCGGAAAGCAAAAAAGAACCTAAAACCAAATCAGACGTTAGGCTGGCCTGGTTGGCACAAGACCCGTTTCGTCAACGGAAACTGACCAACCACTGCTCCTGCATAAATGAACATGAATCTCTCTCAGTATTACGTAGCGCTCGCAGCGAAGCGGCAAAAGAACCACAGAAGAGAGGGGAACAATTCTGACAAGACGGAAACTAAAAATGAAGAGAGGCTGGTAAATGCCGCTCACAACTAACCAACCAAGGGCTTCTGCTTCTTTGTTAGTTGTGCCCACCACCACCACCACCACCATCACCGCACACACCCACTTTTGCTAATGTATCTGGCATAACAGTCTCGTCCCGTTAGCCGGTTGATGCCAAGTTTTCGGGTCAAAAATTTGCTTGTATTACTTCTTGAAAAAGGGTACCGTAGCACGACAACGGCTGCGGACCTGCTTTCGGGGTTTGCTATGCCTCGAAGAGCAAGTAATTGTAATTATCCTCTGGTTACCTCGCAGCACAACCCACCAAAATTCAACTTGGCATGCTCGTACGGATGCTACACACCTAAATAAATGTTTGCTTTTGCCGACCAAGACCGAGGGAGGCATTACCAACGATTACATTCAACGTATCCACACAACTCATCTTGGTCCTTTACCAACAATTTGTACCTATACCGTCAGCTGCCAAGTGCTAGCAAGAGTCTTCTTTCCATGCCTCAGAAGCGACCGGCTACATGTTGGCCGGCTTCTCAGAAAAACAAACAAACTGACCACGTAGTTTTTATCGTTGGAACACGGGCATACGTCTGTTGCAGCAAGGCTCTACCCGAGATGACTGCAAACTTGACAAAATCGGGGGTGGCTTGCTTACTATGCCAGGCATCCGGGGGGGGGGGGGGGGGGCAAACCACGTTTTTTTTTCCCGCGACAGGGTTTCCCTTGTCTGGCCACGAGTTGCAACGGGTGTGAGCGATTTTTGACAAACTACTCCGTCGTAGTCTGACCCCATCTTTCCGGTAGCTATTTATGACTAAAACAGGCACAGATTCAGGTACGCTCGTCATAGAAAGAAAGAGCTGCGCGACAAACTACTAACTAGTAATAAGCCGACAACTTTGTGTGCACCAACATGCCGTCGGCTAGTTTCGAAAAGTTGGAAACCACAACGAGTGGAATTGAAAAACTGGCAAAGAATTGTGGTAAAAGAGCTTTAGAATCAATATGGAAAAGAAGACGAAAAAAAAGGAAAAAAAAAGTTAAAAAAAAAATTGCCCGTCTTTGTGGTATTCACTGCTCATGCTCGCAGAACATACAACTTTACACATGCATATTTCCAAACACAAACCTCTCCCTTCGTTTTGTCATCGACTCCTAACCAACTAACAACTATAACAAATGACCGGGAGCAGCCGCACCAGCAAAGATGCTGCTGCACGAGAAATGTCTGTGTGGCTATTTTTCTTCTTGTGCAGCCATCGGTCTCGTTTATTGCCTGTGTGTATCAGAAATGCAAGCTCCCTACTGGCCTTTTTAGTCTGTGCGTCGTCGTGACGGCGCATATGCAAACTCGCGGCTTCTTGGAGAACCTCCTTCATCAAGCCTGAATCAATTTCCGCAGATTGTGATTACATTTTCAGACTAGAACTTGGCACGCCAAAGAAACCGGGTAATGTTGCCCCTTTTACGACCCTGCTTACGCACCGTCTCGACAAACATCGACGCGGCTATTACACAGTACACAGTATTGCACGCCATTCAGTCATCATGTAGAGTATTTTGAAATGTCTTGTTTTGGAAAGAAAAAAAAATCAATGCCGATGCTCCCGCTCTAAACTTCTTCATTCTCCCAGTCCTTCTCTGCAAACATGGGGTCCTTGCGCCCGCCACCACTCGCCACCTCCAGCTTCTCCAGGAACTCGGGCGGCACCGTTGGTATGTACTTGCGCTCCCGCTCCCTGTTGACGCCGCCAAAGCCCGCCCCGTACGAAATCAGCATGTCCGTTACCGACGGCAGCGTAAACGGTAGCATCAGCGCGGGATCCATCAAGAGGTTCGGCGGCGCCTCCTCATCGTCGTCCCAGCCACCGTCCTCTGCGTCAAGGCCAACTCGCGCCGGAGTGCTTTGCGCGCTCGGCGGCGACGCGCTCAGGCCGTTGCCGCCGCCGCCGCTATTCTTGACAGGTGTCGACGGCACGCTGGTGTCTGGGCCGCCTGCTTTGGGCAGCGGCGATGCGGCTCGGCTCCGCCGCCGGTCTCGTTTCAGAGCCGCCTCCTTTTGAATCCCCAGTAGGTACTTGGTCGCGCTTTTTGGCAGCCGCTTCTCGCCTACTTCTGCGCGATAATGCGTCGCGGCATGAATCAGCTGCTGTGGCGTCAGTCGTTTGAGTTGCTGCAGCGTCCCCACCAGCGCCTCGAGGTCGTCCTCGGCCAGCGACGAAAAGCACTGCAGCCACTGTAGGAGCTGGATAACCGGTGCCAGATGACGCCTGCTTGCGTCTGCTGTTGTTTCTCCCGTCGACTTGGTCTCGCCCCCTTCGTAGTGCTCGGCCTGCCTGTTGTTCGTTCGAGCCCACTCTTCCAAAAGTGAAACGTTCATGCGAATCTGCATTGCCTTGGTCCTCGCCAAGTATTTCCTATTTGACATGATGCGGTTGAAGAGCTCGGATGCAATCCAGTATAGCAGCTGCGAAATTATTTGAGTCGTAATGACCGAGTGAATGTCGTACAAGTCCAGCACAAACACGGTAGACGACAACAACGATGTGACGTTGCGCGGCGACGGCTTGGCTCTTTGCTTGGGCGACGGTGGTCTATACCGCTTTTCCAGGGGCTCCTCCTTGACTGCAGTCTTTCGCTTAAATAGCTTCCACTCGTTTTGAAAGGTAATGTCTTCGAAGCCGGGAATCGTCTCGTGGTCCAACATGGCTGGGTCCAACACCTTGTCTAGACGTCGCTCAGCGTCGCGCACAATGAGGATGAAAATCTCATTGATCAAATCCGCCAGCTGTGTCTGAAATTCCGAAGTTGCCTCCAACAGTCCTGCATCCTTCTTGAGGTAGTGTAGCAGTAATGTCGCGTTGGAGATCCAGAAAGCTAAAATGGTCATGTCCCACTGGCATGCCTCGACCTTGTCGTTAATAAGGTCCATGGCGGAGACCAGCAATCGTTCCAAAAGCTCTGGGCTAGCGTGGTAGTGCGCGTATCGTGCGCTTAGGAAGATCATATTCGCTGGAACTGGTTTTTGCGATGGTGATCGTTGCGGCGTCATTTTCGTGATGATTATATCGAGTATGCGGTCGAGTTCGTGCTCTTGGAAAACAAACATTTGGTCGTGTAAGCACCTTCCCCAGTCAAATTCTTGTTGCTCTTCTTCGAATTCTTCCGCAGGCTGTCAAAGTCAGTAAGTGGAAAGCTAGTATAGCCATGCCTGCTGGGTACTAACCTCTGGCTGATCGTCCATCCCTACATTTCCTAGATCAACCTCCAAGTCGCGCGCGCTTTCCATCATGAGACGGCGGCGCATTTCATTCTCTGCCATTTCCTCCTCGAATCGATCCTGAGAAAACCCGGGATTGTAAAAGTCGTCACCCATTCCGGCGTTGCCAATGTTGTAGCCGTTGTCATGAAGGTAAAAGGACATGTCGCTGTCGGGCGGTACAAAGTCAAAAGCGGTTCGGCCGGACGAAGTTTTTTGGTCGGAAGAGGCACCATTGTCGAGAAGCAGTTTGGCAATATTCTTATGGCGGTTAGTCATTGCCCACATGAGAGCGCTCCATTGATTTTGATCCTGCTTGTTGACGTCGACGCCCGCATCGATAAGAGCCTTGACCACACCTTCGTGACCCTTGAATGAGTTAGCACACTGGGAAACGGTTATTCCACGAACAACACCTACAAAACAGCTTGCGTAAATTAGCGGCGGCGTACCATCCTCGTCCGCAGCATTGACGTCGATGTATGTTTTGGCTTTGCCTGCAAGCATCTTTGTAATCTTTTCTACGTCGCCGTTGCTGGCAGCCATGTTGAGAGACTTTTGCAATGCGTCCTTTTTCTCATTCTCGGGGATTTTCTCATTCTCGGCAATAGCATTGTCGTCCTCGGCGCCATGACCTGCCTGGTGAGCAGCGGCTTGGGCTGCAAGCATCTCCATGAGTCGAGCGTCGCTATCCTTTGGGCCTTTTGTGATTTCGCCCTCGTAGTCGTTGTCATTGAGAGAAAGATTGGCAAAGTTGAGCGGCTTCGCGACGGCGGGTGTCGTCAGAAACTGAGATTGACCTGGAGAATGCGCGCGTCAGAAGTTGGTCAGGGGCGGGGAAGGGGCCTTGCGGTAGGACCTTGGAGCAGCCGCCCCCCCTTGGAGACGACTCACCTTGCCAGCCGTCGTATATTTCCGTCTCGGGCACGATGAACTCTGTTGGCGCGTGACGGCGGTCGTTGAGAGACGTCGGGAGGTCGGTCGGCATGGGGCGAGGCGGGCGCTGCTCGCCCTCGTCGACAGGCGACGTTGATTCCTCGGGTTCCATGGCTTGCGGGAGAGGGGAGGGGCAGCTCCGCACTGCCGAGCTCGTGGAGGACTATGCGGCGAAGAAAGGTGTCATGCGCGCCTTGTTCGAGGAAAAAAAGGCACAGGCAGTCAGTAGCTGAAGCGCCTAGCGAGTTGAAACAGTACAGGAAAGCTGTTGACGCCAGGTCGTGTGAGGATGAACGGAGATGGAGGCAAAAGGTTAGGAGCCTGAGGTGGGTGGTAACTACGGGGTGTGGCGGGTCCGAGCCACATCATCGTCATTTGTGGCACGGCAGCCGGCGGTAAAACCACGACATGACACATTATATTGCCAAGATTAATTCATTTATCTGATTCATAATTGCATGCTTATGCGTTGGTCTATCTCACGCTATTGTCATCTATATACTACTATTCAGCACATCAGCATCACACACACGTAAGGTCATTCACAGGGGGGGTCGGAGACCGGTGCCTAGATGGCTCTGCGGCCAAACGCGCGCACGCGCTTGACGCCGCCATCAGGAATCATGACGAGCTTGATGTGAGTAAAGACGCTATCACTGTCAGCAGAAGCGAACTCGTGCTCCAGGTCAGCCTTTGTCTTGCTCGGCGCGACAACCTCCTTCCAGCCGGCGTCATCCGCGGCCGGGCTGGCGCTCGTCGTGTTGATGGCCTCGAGGCGGACCTTTTGCGGAAAGTTGCCGCGAAAGTGCGCAGTGTCGACGACGAGCTTGTCGATGCGGCCGGGGGCGCCGAGCTTGACAATGGTCCAGTCAACGTGGTCTTTACCGCGTGAGCGCGCCGTCTCCCAGCCGTCGCCCATGTCCTTGCCGCGGCCGGGCAGCAGCAGGTTGTCCTTTGTGCCAAAGTGCTGGTCGCTGCAGGACACGGCGACGCCGCCGTTTTGCGCGGCGGCGAGGTCGAGAGCGGCGTTGGGGTCGGCCGGGAAGACGGGCACGGCGTGGCCAAACAGGCGGAAGCGGGCGATGCCGCCGTCGGCGTACATGTTGAGTCGCACGTGCGTGTACTGCTTCTTGGTAGGTTGATCAAGCTTCCAGGAGAAACGCTGGGAAGGGCCGCACTCTCGGATACCCACAATGGTTTGCCACCCGCCGCGGGTGCCCTGCCACGACACCACCTCGTCGTCGTCGTCGCTGAAGCAGCCCTCGACCGAGATGAAGGGCGCGTAGTTGCCGGTGAAAAAGGCCGTGTCCACCTCGATGCCCTCGACGGTACCCGACGCCACGCCCAGCCGGATCACGACCCAGTCAAAGGGCTCCTGGTTGTGGCGGCGCGTCTCCCAGCCGTCGTACCAGGCACCGGTGAAGACCATCTTGCCGGGCTGCGAAATCGGTGCGGTTGGAGTCAGAAGATTGGACGCTTCCGCGAACCACTGGTCTGAAAAGGCAAGAATCTTACCGCCCAAAGTAGCCGAGATAAGGTCTGCACAGAGTATGAGTAAGAAAGTAGGGTAGAGTATGATTGGGAGGAGCAGACGCCAAAAAGAGAATTCAGAAAGAAAAGAAAAAAAGGAAGAGCATACCAATACATGTTGAACGGAACGTCTTGTCAATCTGGTCAGCAGGGACGACGCTGGTGCTAACGTCGTCGCTAATCTTGTAGCTGATTTCGTCAATGGTAGTAGCCATGGTGACTGTAGGATAAGATGGGGATACAAGTGCGTTGTGTGTTTGCTCAACTTGATCAGGTTCTTTTCTATCAGTCTTGGACTTGTTGGTCTTGGAATGACCCACGATTTTTTGCTTGGAGAGTTTGCTCACACGACCAAAGCCTTTAGTCGGAAATGGCGGGCGAGGCTGTATTTAACCTGGTGCGAACTCCTAGCCTGTGGACGTGCGACCTCGGGCCCCTACGGAGGGAGTGGGCTTTTCGTGGTGGGGATCGGGGACCTCCGACGCCGGGTCGCGGCCGGTGCCCAAGCCAAACAAATCAGTAGAGACTACAGGGTGAAATCGCGTGCCAAACGCATACAATGACGGGCCAGTACAATGACGGGCCAGTCAATTGTAATTTGGGCGAGGCCATTCTGCCGTGCGGGGCTTTCGCCGCCCGTGATGCACGGCGGGGTCTAATTACAGGCTCATTTTTCTTTCTTGCCAGGTAGCAAGGAGGTAGGTACATGCCGATGACGGGCTTGGCTTGGCTATTCGAGAAACAGATGCACGGACATGGCTTGTGGTTGCCAATCAAATGCATACAGCTTTGCATCAGGAAATGCAGGAAATGAAGCTATCAGGTAATAAGGCGCCTTTCGGCAAAAGCTGTAATGGCGGCTTTATTCGATGGCTTGACGTAACGTCGGAGCCCACTCTTGGCAGACGGGTCTGGAGTTGTCGGGAGATGATTCATCAAGTACGGATTACGGAGAACCTGGTTAAGAATGGAGTATGGAGTAACTTGGGGGCCCTTTCGTCATCTGCTTGCCCGTCTATGTGTAGACATGAGAACAAAGTCATTCATTCAGCCTTTGTGCCATGTGCAACTCTCATTCACTGCGGATACAGAGAGGATTAGTGTTTAAGGAACAGAGTACATACAATGTGGCGCTATCTATTGTTAAACTTTGCAAGTCAACGACTTAGACACCACAAGTCGCACAAAGGCTTATCGATCGCCACCTTGCCGATTTAGGAAGGCCACCTATACACTCGTTGCCTTGCAGGGGTTCGGCCGACATTTGACAATGTCAACCGCCGCTCGGCCACTCTTATGGTTATTGTTCTTGCTATGAGCCGGAGGGCGCCGTGGCTGACCAGCAACCATGCAGCGCTGCTCAGCTTGCCTTGACATCTATTTTCTACCTCGTTGCGCGTTCACCACTGTCCCGAGAGACGACTATTCAATCTAGGGGCAAATTTTGCTCAGCCATCCAACCATCCAGCCCAGTGGCAAAAGGTATAGGTGGCATGTGGGTACGTCTAGGTGGCCTGCATAAGTGGCTTTGGCTAAAGTCTAGCGCCATCGCCAGCCCTTGCTAGGCCTACGGGGTCAAGTAACCGGAGCTAGGGAGCAGGTGAAGCGAGCGACAGCCCGTTAATAACTACGACCAAATATTTCTGTATGTACAAAGTAGGCGACAAGTAGGTGCAGTACTGATTATATGGCATCGTGATTTGGTTGCAAAATCCTGTTACTTATGGTACCAGCTCCGCGTCTACTTCCATTCCAGCTCCAACCCCGGCTTTCGCTGCAACCTCTCGACCTGATCGGTTGATGCTTTAGGCCTAACCAGCAGTTATAACAGAAAAAGTAATCCTCAACACATAAGCGTTCACAAATCATGCCAGCTTTTTTCATTTTGCAACCCGGCCATGGACGGGCGGATTCAAGGGGACCAGCAAACAATCGACATGGCGTGGAGCACCGCCAATGTGCGGGCCTTTGGCCGAACAATCAGAAAAGAAAAGAGCCAAAACTTGATTGTAGTCGCAGATGATATGGACAGCGAACACATGAGATCAAAGTAACAGTCGACTATACCACAGAGAGTCAGCGTTGTGCGGGAGCAAAAGGACCAGCATCTCGGCAGCCACGGTTCGGGCCTAGCAGGGCATCTTACCGTCTCTTATCCTGTACTGGCATTATTGACTATAATAAAGCCACATTATGCTTCGGCAGCTTACCATGAATACCTACATAAGCTGCACCCACTGCTCCTTCAAACAGCGAACCATACAACCAATTTATCCTCATCTCATCGCAAGCCCAGAACTCATCATGCCTCCTACGCTTTCGCCTCCGTCCAAAGTGACCGTCGCCGTGACCCAGGCAGAGCCAGTCTGGCTGAACCTCGAGGCTACTGTTGACAAGACGTGCAAAATCATCAGCGAGGCCGCCAAAAATGGCGCCCAACTCGTTGCATTCCCCGAAGTTTGGATCCCAGGCTATCCTGCTTGGATCTGGTGTGCACTCGTTCATGTAACCAACGTAACGCTCACCCGCCCTTTTTTCTAAAACAAAGCACAGGAACCGACCCGTCGACACGGACTTGATGACCCGATATATACAAAACTCGATGCGTTTAAACTCTGATCAGATGGGCAGACTAAGGGAGTGCGCCGCCGAGCACAACATTGTTGTCGTGCTAGGATTTTCGCAGAATGACCACGACTCCCTTTACATTGCACAGGCAATCATTGATGCCACTGGAGAAATTAAAGTCTTGCGGAAAAAGATGAAGCCAACCCATATGGAGCGGACAGTCTTTGGTGACTCTTTTGGCGACTGCCTCGACAGTGTTGCTGATACAGCGGTCGGAAGAGTCGGGGCCCTGAATTGCTGGGAGCATCTGCAGCCGCTGCTCAAGTACCACACGTACTCGCAGCGCGAGCAGATCCACGTCGCTGCATGGCCGCCCCTCAACACGGAAGCCCCAGAGGGCGGTCTGGAATCAATGACGGGCAAGGGTAAGCTTTCCGAAAAAATTCAACGCCTGGGAATTATTAGGTAGATGCTGATGCCATTACAAAGGTCTTGCCGCGGTTTCACAGGTGTACGCCATGGAGTCGGCATCGTTTGTTCTCCATTCTACATCTGTCATTAGCCAAGCTGGCGTCGATTTGATGAAAACGGGGGACGGCGATTGGATGAATGCCCCGGGTGGTGGAAGCTCGGCCATCTATGGGCCGGATGGGAAAAAGCTGACCGCTGATCTACCCGATACCGAAGAGGGAATCCTCTACGCCACCATTGACTTGGACGATATCCTCCGGTCCAAGGCCTTTATTGACGTTTGCGGTCATTATAGTCGACCGGATCTCTTGTGGCTTGGTGTTGACAAGCAGATCAAGCGTCATGTGCGATTTCCACGACCCGAAAACCATGACTCGGATGCATGCTGAGTGGCTGAACAATGATTTCGAGATCAGGACACATAGATTGATAGGCAAAGACCAACACAATTTTTGCTTCGAAAATTTATCTTAATTTTGGTGAAAAGGAATGGGATTGTTGGAATATGTGGCAACTGTTGCCTGATTGGCGCGCGCGGAATTGCAGGCGGCGGACCATCATCGCAGGAGACGGTGCTCGAGGGAGGAGATAGCCACTCTTCTCAGTGTACAGCCTCGAGATGGCAGTACGCATAGCTTCAAAAAGAGCTGCAATTCTTTGGCGTAATAGTAAATTGAGTCACAAAGCTATCTAAATATTGAAAACTGAATGAGTGTGCGTGATATCTGCAAGAGCTAATCCGCATCCAATCTGAAGCCTCGGTCTACATCAATCAACGATTTTTTTCCATAACTAAATTGCATCAAATCATCTACAAACTACTGATCCATGTGATACTTCCATTGCTTCATCTTCTACCAGCCTGTCCAAAACGGAGGGTTTGCCCGGAGCATCATTTCTTATACAGTTCGGCACTTCAAGTCGAGCCAGTGAGGTATCGGAAGCATCTCAATGTCGCTATCTCCGTCAGTGCCAGAACACATGGACACGTCAGGGCCCAGTAACGCAGGCGGCAATTGCTTCGGTGGAAGTCCTTTGTCTGCGCCGGAACTCTCATCCGCATCGAGTGTATACAACGGTGTCAACGGTGTCATTGATGCCCGTTGGCTAGGGGGACCGTCGCTGAGGGGCGAAACGGACCAAAGTTCATGAGATCGGGCACCTTGGGCGCCATTCTCGAAATCGGGTGTCGGAGTCCGAGTTGGCCCGCTGTCCACGATGCCGTGAGTGACCACCCTCTGCATTCGGGTATCGCCTGGAGCAGAGCCTTGAAATGCTTCCACGAGCGACCGGCATGTGGCCGCGGAGCTTCTTCCCTGTTCCTTTAGCATGTTGTTGCGGAGAAGATCGATCCAGTAATCCGGCCCATCACTCGTAAACTCTTCAAGCAGAGCGAGTACAGCTTCCCAGTACAAGCTATTGTACCCTGCAGAAGCAGGAAGCGACTTGCCTTGTGATACCAAAACCATCTGGAAAGCGACGACGCCGAGGGACCAAATATCGACCTCTTTACCGTACCCCTGCCTTTCGCCCATCATCTTGAGTTTCTCGGATTTAAACATCTCAGGAGCCCAATATAGCTTGGTTCCACAAATTGTGGTATAGTTTGCCATGCTGATTTTGGAAGTTCCAAAGTCGGCTAGTTTCACCAAGATGCTCCTGCTTTCGTCATCTCGAGAAAAGACTAGTATGTTCTCGGGTTTAATATCGCGATGCGCAATCTGATGCTCGTCGTGCAGATACTCCAGAGCAAGAAGACATTGATGAACAATTGAAATGTATTCGGCGGGCTCGAATTCCTTCCGACACATCTCTTTTTTCAGGCATCCGAGCGCTGCGTATTCCAAATGAATCGTCGGCCATGCGTTTAGTGGAGGGTTATCAGGGCCCAGGAATTCGGTGATGTGCGGCTGAATGCAAAGCAAATTATCAGCATCAAAGATGAGGACCTGTTGAATACTGACTCACATGCTTCAAGGTTTTCAGTATCTTGATTTCGTTTGCCCAGATTCCCTTAATGTTCAGTGTGGTGTCGTCGATGCTTCCGCCGCGCGGCTGTTTGACGGCTATCTCCTTGCCTGTGCTGGCATTCCGGCGACAAAAAGTTGTTCCAAATGCTCCCCAGCCAACCGCTCTATGAATGTAGATTGGCGTTGAAGGAAGAATGTGGTGCTTTTTGGCCCGCCCCTTGGGTTTCTGCGCGCGCATAAAGGCACTTTGAAATCGGTCGGAATCAACAGCCAAGTCGTTGCAGAGGAATGAGCCAACGCTCGCCTTGTGATTTTCGCTAGACCAGTCACGATCCGGGATAACCACCTGCATCAAAAGCGTTTCCCCAAGCCGAACTTCGACTTTGTGATGGACTCCTGGCCCTCCCACAATCCAGGTGAAGCCCCTCCGAATGAGCCCTGCGAAACCAGTAGAGCAGGTTTTACCGGAGCAGTCTCTGACAGCGCTTTTGTCATCGTCTCTTTCATCATACTTGACCCGTGTTCCATGCCTAGACCTCAAGTCCTTGAAAACAAGTCTATGAGAGCTGTCAAACGTGAAGGCTCCATGGAACTGAGCGAGACAGGCATGATTGAGGGCGAGGTCGCACAATGCGTTTCTGCCTATGACGAAGCCCATGTTGCTGTTCCGCTTGGTGCTGAAGCGAAGTATCAAGCTCGGTAGATTTTCGAATTCGTCGTAGCCGGTATACCCGCTATGGATGTCGTGACTACTCATGACTGATCCTTGGGTCCCCTGTTGCATATCTTTGTCTGAATCCTTTTGCGAATCCTTCTGCCAATCTTTTGTCGAGTCTTTCGTCGAGTCTTTTGTTGCATCTCTTTGCGAGTCATAGGAAGCGTCGTAGAGAGCTGCGGGCCCAATGACAAGAGGATGCTCTTGAAGAGCATTCTGCAACTTCATGTCCCTGGCTTGAAAGTACAGGCGAGCGATCACGTCGCCGTCCGTACCCTCCATGATGTGTGGTAAAGTGTGGATGTCGATACTCAATTGCAAGGATGAATGAAGATGAAATGAGAATGAGTTTTGGAAGTAGGCATCACAGAAGCAGAACAGAGACTAGATATATCAATTAAACTCTTCCGTCACCCCATCGCCGACCCAAGGATTGTAGAAACACGCGCTGACGAACCAAGCCAACAATGAAGCCATAGCCAATCGTAGCGGCCCCCACAACCATCTACGCCGTTGGCCGCGACCATCGAGCCTCGGCGCCTAACTGCGGCATTTCCTTGACCGAGTGTCAAAGGACGACGTCCTCCCAATCGATTGGATCATTCGCTCACTTTCCTTTCTTTCCTCGCCTAGCGCCCCAGCGGGGGCGGCCGCTCCTGCAGGGGAAAGAGGGCGCGGGCATGGGCTGCAAGTTTTGGTCCCGCGCCGCAACGCCACCGTCAAGAGTCACATTAAGAGCACATACTGCGATTGGCTTGCATCCTGCATTGGGCTCTGTTTTTGGGTTGAGTTTAGCGCGCGTTGTGCATGCGGAGTGATGACGGGAAACAAAAAAAAAGCGCAGACAAGAAACATTGAGTTGGCACCAACAGGGCCACGCGGCCCGGGGCCCGGGGGTACTTTGTAGAGGCGGCGGTACCTTATGGTTCGTAAGCGGCCGCCTCCTATTGGCCCGCTCGCTGCGATCGCCCTCTTGAAGTTGTCGCGGGCTGTTCATGAAGCAAACATACTTAAGCGCTGGTGATTTCCTATACAGTAGACGTTGCAAAGCTGCGGATTCTTCGACCGGCCTGCATCAATTGACCCTGCATTCGCCGCAAGCCGTCGTGTGCTTACAATGGCTTCCAGCAGCGCCATCTCCCAAGGCTCCGCGCCCATCCAACGCAACAAGGCAGCCGAGGTCAATGCCCAAGCCAATCATGGCCAACCGCATCAGCCTGAAATTGCATTTTCCATGGCGCAGCTCTGGGATGGTGAGTTGTCATCTGCCCCCCCGAAACTCCCGTCCACCTACCCGCCGTTCTCCTGACGCTCGTGTGTGCAGGCACTGCCTTCATCGCCCAGACTGCCGTCGTCACCTTTTCCCTGTCCCTGTCCGGGCGGCTCCTGGCACGGCCCCTGACGCTCTTCTCGTGGCATCCGCTATCACAGCTCCTCGGTCTGTTCCTGCTCCTCCAGTCCGTCCTCGTGCTGCAGCCCACGCGCACCGCTGGCCAGAAGCGCGTCGGCCAGACCGTGCACGCCGCGCTCAACTTTGCCTCCTTTGCCGCCTTTGCCGCCGGCTTCTGCGCCATTTACCTCAACAAGGAGCGCAACGGCGCGGCGGCGGGGGCAGCGTCGGTGGCGCACTTTACCACGCTGCACGGCGCGCTGGGCGCGACGCTGACGGCGATGCTCGCGGGCCAGCACGTCGTCGGCCTGACCATGTGGGCGGTGCCGGCGCTGTACGGCGGCGAGGCCCGCGCGAGGTCCGTGTGGAAGCTGCATCGTGTCAGCGGGTACGTGAGCTTGCTGCTGCTGCTGACGACGTTTGGCACGGCGGCTGGCACGGGCTTTGTGCGGAACGCGCTCAAGCTCGAGTCGTGGGTGTTTTATGTGCCAATGGCGCTCATCGCGGTGGGGGTGCTGCCGCGCATTCACGCGTCTAAGCTAGGATTCTCGACGAAGAAGGCGTAGGACAATTGCGAGAACTAGAAGAGATTGGAAAGGTAACTAGATGATACAGGCGAAACGACTTTTCATGGCTGTAGTCCTCTAAAGAATGACAAAGCGGTAGTTCGTTGAAGGAAAGTCGCCAAGTTGTTAAAAATGAGTCATGATAGACGACCCATTCTTATGCGTTTCTCTTGTGTTTTGTGCATCTTCTCGTTTCTCTTGTTTTCGCCAGGAGGTAGCAGAGCATGTGACTGTTGGTGTGTGACACAAGTCCACCAGGGGCACAAAAGACTGATACAACACGCAACCATGGCAATATGGTCAATCGGTTATGAAGACGCTCAAGGCCGGCTGAGAGGATAAATCTGGAAATTGAAAGGCCATGCACGAAAGATTGAAGCCGGTCCAAGACCAGATCTTGGTTAAATCCTGGGTCAGGTCATGCATTTCTACTGTCCTAAAGTGCAGGTGTGCCGTCATGCAAACAGCATCGAGAATGCTCAACGCCCGAAGACAAATTTGAACTTCTAGTTGAGGGATGCTGTGAAGTTTACAAAAATGGCGAATAATTCATCCTATCTGATGAGCATCTGAAATTCGGCGATCCGCCCCCCGAATGACGAGCTCGCGGGCCGGGTAGCATTGCAGCCCCTGCCTGCTTGGTCAATATGGCTCGTAACTGAATAGTTGCTTTTTTAGACTATTAATACGGCCCGCTGCAGCTCGTTATTATTTGTACTGTAACTTTATGCATACATGGCCATGGATCCGCTGCACTGTGGAAACGAGCTGACATTGGACGGGACAAAAGTCATCGCGTGGGCTGAAGGGAGGGAGGGGATGCAGATTTTCGGCAAGAAGCAGCCGCCTGTGGAAAGCAGAGAATCCCGGAAAAATTCAGCTCAATAGAAGAAAAGGAAACTATGGGGTTCAATGGAGAATTTGGGTGGGCGCGCCGCCACCGACGACGTGCGGATGCCACGGCGACTGGGGGGTGCTCGTTTATTATGCCCCGGGGTCATGCATGATGCCGGCAGCAATAAGAGTGGTGATAAGCCTACATACCTAAAGGGTTGGCGAATAATCTGTTGATCTGCGCCCAATCTCAGAAGATTTCATCATTGTTTGAGGACTAGTCATATTTCACATCACCGTGTCGAGCGGTACAGATTGCGACAATAGACTGATAGTGTTCTGTCTTGTTTCGGGTCTCGGCTGACGGAGAAGGGCCCCCGGCTGACGGTGAGCAGCAGGGCAAGCACGGCTCTCGATTACACCGGTGGCTTGCTGGTTTTGCTTTGGGGTTCATTATATCGGTAATAACGAGCATATGAATTCAATCGGCGTAGTTTTGCTGCGCATTTCATTAATACTTATTGTGGATGTGGTAGTTGGCGGAGCGGAAAGCCCGTGGCAGTCACCGGGGGGCCTGGTCAGGTTTGATCTATTTATGATTTACTATTTAATAGTTTCTTATCTTGTCGGAGGACGCCGTTTTGGCCAACCTTTTGCAGGCAAGCACCCGACATGCTGTGTGACGGGTGACAGGAGTGTGACGTTGAGGTCCAAGTCCCGAGATGGGTCGAGCTGCCATTTTGGGATGTTGGAGTTCTGTGGGAGATGCGATGTGATGGACAAGATGTCACAGTTTGGGCTGGGCTGGGCGGTGCACAGCGTATGCGGTGTTACCAGTACGTACGCTTATTAGGTGTCGGGAATAGCCTCAGTGTGTGCCAGCAGCTTGGGGGTGGTACTGGTGACGCGCTGCCGAATCGCAGGGTTCCGTGACGACAGGTGATGGTGCGACATGCTGCAGGCAAATCTGGGGCGGGCAGAGTCAGATTTTACCATAGTATTTGGGCAAGGCTACGCGAGCTGGTCAATTGGTGTGGTCAGATTCGGTGAGTCGAATGAGCATGCAAGATGACCACCACGGCTTTTGCGAGGGCAATCAAGACATTTTTTTTTTGTGGACGGTTGGCCCGGATGCTGGGGCCGCAAGGAAAAAGGGACCAGAAAAGTGGCGCTGGTTGGGCATCAGGGAGATGAAGTGTGAAATTGGCGACCAAAAAAAAAGTGCTGGCATGAGTGGGATGGAGAAGGGGCAAAGGCAAAAAGGGTGTTATTTGATTATGGTGATGTCAATTTTTAGTGGTGGTGTAAATAATCCGTAAGCACAATTCGGCTGTTGTTATCAACCTCTTTTCTGGTTGTGCAAAAAAAATATCTGACAAACCGTTTCCGACGGGCCGGGACAATGTTGAATCACGATGACGTTGGCCTACTTATGACGTCGTACTTGTAAAGAGAAAAAAAGGCACAATACGGAAAAAGCGTCCGTATTCGTAGACGGTGGTGATACCAAGGCCCCTTGTTCGTATGAGACGAGTCAGCTGCGAGAGGGAGGCAAAACAGCTGGATAGGTTTCGAAGTAGAGGAGAGATAGAGGCCAGGAAGAGGAGGAAATTGGCCTGAAAATTCAAATAGGGTGCAGCATACGAATACTGTGACGGCATCTTGAGGGGGCCGCCGCAGGCGGGAGCCGCTGCCGCTAAGCTGGTAACGGTGGCCCGGTGGGTTGGCGGTTGGCGACCAAGACAGCAAATATAGCATGGCCAAGAAAAAGCAGAGTCAATCTAGTCAAGATGGGAGATTATGCAAATTTCATCATTCACCCATGTGAAATACGAGAGCAGTTGCTAGATTCTGGATTGGCAGAAGCTAACTATGGTAAGGCAAACGCTACGTGGTAGCGGCCGCTTTCGACAAGTCTGGGGACTGTTGAGGCGTCGAGGCGCCGAGTTAAGAATAGTGGCTGAGGCGTACGTCGTTTGGTGGCTGAAGCGTCCATCTACCTACGTCATTTGGCACGCGCGCTGCAGGTGCTGGTAATAATTCCAGCCCGGACCCCACTGCGTGGCTTGCAGGGGGGGTGGGAGGCAAAGACAATAGGAACAAGGGAAAAGAAGGGAAAAAAAATAAAGAGGGAATTCTGGGAGGACGAGAGGATTGAGTGGAATTGTTTAGAGAAAGAAAACAAAATGTTTTGGGTGGGGACAACTGGTAGACGGCCAGGATGCGATACAGATGGAACATCCCCCATATACTTGCAAACCTACAGAGTTTGATACACAAAGATGTACCGTACCAGGGGCTCACAGGTGGTGTGCTCGAGGCTTTTGGCTTGGATTTGCTTGTGCTTGTGTGGTATATTGTCGGCCCCCCACTGAAAACATTTCCATCTTCCTCTGCACCTCCACTTTATTAGTTAGCGCACCGCCAACCTCTTGCTAGACGTAGTATTCTGCCCGTTTGACCGTTTTGACCGTCTGCCATCCGCCATCCGCCATCTGCCATTCACCTTCCATCTACCGTCCTCTTCCACTCTTATCCGTCCTTTCGTCAAACTGCTCGTCTATTCTCGCCGCTGTGCTCTGCGCTCTCACTCTCACTCTCACTCTCAATCTGACCCTGCTTGCCGCAGCCAGCTCATTCAGCTCCACTTTGACCACAACCACACACAACCACACCACCTTACGACGGTGCACCCGTTTTACCCTCACTTACTACTGCCACTTACTACTGCCACCTACGACTACCACCTCTCTTCAACCCTCCTCTCCTCTACTGGCCTCTCTTCGACCACCTGCCTCGACCACCTGCCTCGACCAACGCCCTCGATACACCCACTTGCGCACCCCAACTCCACCCCACACTCAGCGCTGCTGCTTGGGAAATCGCCACGCGCTACAAGCTCCCTTGTCAAGCAACGCCAAGCAGCAGCCACCACGCCTTCTTCTACGAACCACGATCCTCAACGGCAGCACTTGCTCAACCACTACTATTCTCTCCTATCTGGTCGCTTAGCCCATACCGGCTTCTACCTCGCTGACAACCTCGACCATTTCCTCCCATCTCTGCCACAACTTTCGACCATTCTGTCACCACGTCGCCTCACCAGAACTCGTCGACCACTACTGCCGCTCGACACAGACGTCGACATTTTCGGCACCGATATCCTCAACGGGCTGCCCACAAAGCCCTATTTCTTGCCGCCCACCACCCTGTCGAGACATGGACAAATGATCAGTGACGGTGCCCCCAGTGCCCCTGCGCATGGCTTAGGCTCGACCGCGATGCCTTCCCGACGCTCCAGCTACCCGCTCTCGGCTGCCACCGACGCCGCAGCTCGCGTCATGGCAATCAATGCGCGTGATGCCCGCCACCCCATTGCATCCAACGACTCGCCCGATCTGGCAGACACCGCCGCCATTGCCGACACGGACGGCGCCTTTGACGGCGACGTCGCACTCGACGGCCCTCCCTCGACCGTCGCCCTCTCTCCACCACAGCTCCAGCTTAACGAATACAGGGAAAAGTTGGCTCGCGATCTCGAACGCCGGGAGCTCCATGCTAGAGGCCTGTTGCACTCTCCTCCGGTCCTCGACAAGATCCGTGTCGTCTCTATTCAAGAAGAATCGACGCCCTCCCCGCCCTGGATTTCCTCCAGTCTCAACACGTCATCTACTGAATCCGGAAACACGGTTCGCGGCGCTCCGACACCCGCCATTGTCGCCCGTACGCCTTCTTACCCATTTCCCCGGATGGCTTCTACTCCAGGTGCTTTCGGGCCCGGCAATTTCTTTGCCAACATGTCCAACCACGCCTCTCGCGTCAACTTTGCCATTCCTACGCACGAACCCAGAGGCGTTCCAGAGCGCGTCCTCTCCGAAGCCTCAACTCCTGCATCCGCCTTTTCTTTTAACCCAGCTGACACACCGGTGGCTGAAAGCTATGACTATCCCACTCCCGATCTTTACAATCTCTCCTTGCTGCTTTCTTCTGAGCCGGGTTTGGACGCGTGGTGGAACACCGTTATCCAGATTATGAGAGACGTCTTTCAAGCCGAGCGCGTAACCTTGTCTGTACCTGCTGACGCTGCAGATTTGGAAAACGTCCCTTGGGGTCAAAAGGCTACTTTTAATGAACGTCAGGAGGACCAGCTTAGTGTTGGCTACATAGCCAAGGGCAGCAGCGCCGTTCAGAGCAGCGATGCTGATGCTACAGATGCCCTGCCTTCGCTATTAGATCTCATATCTCCCACCGAAGGGCCTCCTCGCCCTGACCTCACCAGTCGCCATTCTTTCACCAGCTACGAAGAGAAAAAGGACTCCGTTCCACTAACACCGCGTCGACCCAATCACTTGTCGCGTAGTATAACGTCGGCTCCGTTTCCCTCCAAAGTTTCGCGCCCTGGCACTCGTCTCGACAAATCTAAACTCGAGGAGCACGATGCGCAAGTCCGAGAAGATCCCGTCATTCCCAGCTGGGAGATTCCCTTTCTGGCACGCTATGAAGGCCAAGGCAAGGTCCACTCTGTTCTCCAAGCTCTCGATTTCGAGGCCGATCCTCTCATTGACCACGCTGGCGTTGTCCGAGTTCTGGAACGAGGAGGTCCTGTCACCCTGACACGCTCGTATCCCTATCTCACTCCAGAGAACCAGCAAGACGATGCCTCCAAAATGGCTGCCGCCGACCTCAAGAAGGCCAGGATACACTCATCGGAATCCTTGCCCTCGCTATCCTCTATGTTACCTACCGCTCCAGCCAAATCCAGGGGCAAACCGTCTGGCATAGATGGCATCATCCACAACGAGGGATTTGCTGACTCGCATACTCCCAGATATGAAGAATATGAACAGATTGCCATGTCGCCGTGGGCACAGTCTCCTGCTCCTTCCCCAGCCGCTCGCTCCGACACTGCCGAGAATCCCTTCTTTGCCGAGGCCACCGTTGACGAAGGCTCTTTTGACCCAGCTACCGGCGCTGGCGATTATAGCGACACACGCCCACCTCAAGCCATTGGCTTAGACAATTCATGGACCGTCATTCATATTCCGCTCACCCATGTCTTGCAGTCAAGGCAAGCCCGACCATTCAAGCTCGACGCGAGCAGCATGGAGCAGAGACTCCAAGGCCAAAAGCCCGAAAGTCCTCCCTCTCGCGCCACGGATTGCAAAAGAAACAAGCCAGCACCCATAGCTATTCTCTCAATACTGAGCACTGTCGCGCCTTATCCACCCAATTTGCGCAAGGCCTTAGAGCACCTGTCGCCCCATATGGCTACATCATTCTCTCTAGCGCGCCACTACACAAATCTCGAGACAGAACTCGCAGGCATTCAGAGACGCCGTCCTCCAACTACAGGTTTCGGTGCCGTTGCACCCTATGGGCGATCCTACGAGAGCACCGCTGCGCTAGCTGCAGCCGACATTGTACAATTACGATCATCGGCTGGAAGCATAACCAGCCCCAGCGACTACTCTGGAGTCTCGAAAAGCGCTGCTGGCTCTCCGCTCGGCACACCGGGCTGGAAACGGCAGCCTTTCCCCAGTCCAGCAGCTCAGTCAGGCAGCGACAGCTACTTTAACAGCAAGTCGACGGTAGCCACTGGCCGGCAAGAAGCCACCACACCAGGGCTGCAAAGATCCAAACCTTTCCCCATGGAGGTTTCTCCAAGTGACAAGAGATCCTCGCGGCTAACAAATAGCAGCATCTTGTATGATGCCATGGATGAGCCCGAAATGTCCCTCGATGGGCCCGAGGAGGGCGGCGCTGCAATGCCACATGAGAAGTCCCGCTCAATCAGCAGCAATGAGCCAATGTTTGAAATTGGCGAGGCACCGTCCTCGAGCCTTGAAGAGAAGACGGAAACCGAGAAACATGCCTCGCAGCATCAACATCATCGCCACCGCCCACACACCATGCTTCATAGCTATGGTGCCGACTTTGCTTCCACTTTCCAGTCTCTGCCGCCCAGCTCGAGCTTGATAAGCCGGCCACCGCCTACGCCACTCATGTCGGGTTCATCGCGTAGCATGTCTGTCCTCCCCTCGGCAGCCGGTGACATGCCGCCGCCGTCCGATAGATTGAAGAGCCTCATTCTAGATTCTCTGCCAGCGCATGTCTTTGTCTCCCTGCCGCAAACAGGCGAGATTGTCTGGGTCAACAGTCGCTACTTGTCATACCGTGGGCAAACCGTCAACGATCTTGCGGCTGACCCCTGGAAGAGTCTTCACCAAGATGACCGTGATGAATACCTCAAAGACTGGGGCCACTCTTTGCGAACGGGAGATCAATTCTCTCGAACCGTGCGTATCAAGCGTTTCGATGGTGCATACCGCTGGTTCTATGCCAGGGCCGTTGCGTCAAAGGACAAGAGAGGTGTCATTATGCAGTTCCTCGGCTCATACATGGATATTCATGATCAGCATATTGCCGAGCTCAAAGCAGCACGTCAAGAAGAGATTGAAGCCTCCGAGGCCAAACACAGATTGCTGGCAAATCTCATTCCTCAAATCATATTCACAGCCACGGAAGATGATGGCGTCACGTTTGCCAATGAGCAGTGGTTATCTTATACAGGTCAGAGCTTCGAGGACGCTCTCGGCCTAGGATTCATGGATTTTGTGCATCCCGAAGATTTGGCCAAGTGCCGTATTCCCATCACTCGGGCGTCCTCTGAAGCGACCCTCCACTCGCAGAAAGGCACGAGAAGAGGAAGCGAGTCGGGGTCCAGATCTGTTCGGTTCGGGCACAAAAGTACGGTTACTAGCTCTACCTATGAAATGCCAACGGCGGATCTGGCCGAGCTTGCCAAAAAGGGCATCGTCAGAATCGGCACCGACACCAATGGCAGAGTCTCGTACACGACAGAATTGCGACTACGATCCAAGAATGGTGACTACCGCTGGCATCTCATTCGTTGCGTTGAGATTGACACGATTGATTTCGGTCGTGGAGCCAGCTCTTACTTTGGATCGGCGACGGACATTAATGATCACAAGCTCCTCGAGGCCAAGCTCAAAGAAGCCATGGAATCCAAGGGCAGATTTCTCAGCAACATGTCCCACGAGATTCGAACACCACTCATCGGTATCTCGGGCATGGCCAGCTTCTTGCAGGATACCACGCTAGACGAGGAACAGCGCGATTACACAACCACCATACAAACCAGCGCCAATAGTCTCATCATGATTATTAATGACATTCTCGACTTGTCCAAGGCCGATGCCGGTATGATGAAGCTCAACTTTGAATGGTTTCGACCACGGTCCATCATGGAGGATGTCAACGAGCTTGTGTCTACCATGGCCATTGGCAAGGGCCTAGAGCTCAACTACCTTGTCGAAGCCGACGTACCATTGTGGATTAAGGGCGACAAGATCCGGATTCGACAGGTTCTGCTCAACGTTGTAGGCAACGCCATCAAGTTTACCGATACCGGCGAGGTCTTTAGTCGCTGCAGGATTCATGCCGAGGATGAGCAGATGGGCACGCACGCAATTATACTCGAGTTCTCAATCACTGACACTGGGCGAGGTTTCTCCAAAAAAGAGGCAGAGTTAATTTTCAAGCCTTTTAGTCAGATTGACGGGAGCAGCACGCGACAGCACGGTGGCAGTGGGCTGGGCCTTGTCATCTCGAGGCAGCTTGTTGAACTGCACGGAGGCAAGCTGGAGGGCTCGGCCGTCCCTGGCCAGGGGTCAACGTTTACGTTTACAGCGCGATTTGGTCTGCCGACGCCTGATGATCAGCCCAACTTTCCTCAGAGCCCCGGCTCAACAATTTCGACATTTTCGAGGCAGGAATCTGACTGTGGACTTAGAGGGTCGCCACAGCTGTCCGCTACGTTGAAACGTCGCAGTACTGACGACACAAGCCCAGGCGAGACTGTGTTGGCATCGGCTCTGGCCCGCACAGGTAGCCCTCGAACGGGTAGCCCTCGAGCGGGTAGTCCTCGATCGGGTACGCTTTCGAAGCAGGCGGTGAGTGCAGTTGCTTCCGGTCCGCTTGTTGGGGTTAATCCTGGTCTCGCTCGCTTCAGCGAGGCTGCCAAGGCCAGTGGCCATGATTTGAGCCAAATGAGATTAGAAATTCCGTCTGGGCGCAACTCGCCTGGGCAAGCAGCGACACCCGATCTTAGTGGACGGCCGCGACCAACTGGCATTGCACCACCTCCCGTCTACTCGATTCTAGTTATTTGTCCGCAACACCACAGCCGCGAAGCAACTGTGCAGCACATTGAAATGACATTGCCCAAGGATGTGCCACACGAAATCACTGCCATTCGCACCATCGAAGAAGCGCATGACCTAATTGGCGGCGACAATTCCGTCACCTTTAGTCACATTGTCGTCAATTTGGGCTCGGCTGAGGCTATTCTTGCCTTTTTGGACCAAGTCACAACCTTTCAAAAGGTGGAAAGGACAGTCATTGTAATTCTATCAGACTCGTTGCAGCGCACAGCCGTGATGAAGGCGGCCACTGGTACCAAGACGGAGCAAACACTGGCCAGCAACTCGGTCACCTTCATCTACAAGCCCGTCAAGCCCTCGCGCTTTGCCGTCATCTTTGACCCGGACAAGCGACGAGACTTGAGTACGGACTGGAACCGATCGAATGCGCAGCAGCTTGTTGAGAAGCAAAAGGCGAGCTACAATGAAATGTCGATGCGCATGGGACACAAGGGCTACAAGGTGCTGGTGGTGGAGGACAACAAGATTAACCAGAAGGTCTTGACCAAGTATCTGGAAAAGATTGGCGTCGAGGTGGAGATCGCCGAAGACGGAATCGAGTGCACGGACCTTGTGTTTAACAAGCCTCACAATTACTACTCGCTCATTCTTGTACGTATCTCGACCAACGCACTGCGAATCAATGCTAACACACAAGTAGTGCGACATTCAAATGCCGCACAAGGATGGCTACGAGACGTGCCGAGACATTCGCGAGTGGGAGGCCAAGAATGGCTTTGACCGACTGCCTGTGATTGCGCTGTCGGCGAATGTTATGTCGGTCGTTTATGACAAGTGCACAGCGGCTGGGTTCAGCGACTACCTCACGAAACCGGTCGACTTTATCAGCCTTAGCAAGGCCATGGTGAAATATTTCTCCTAATGAAAAAGTCAAAGACGAAAAAAATTGTATATATGAAAACGGTCAAGACGCGAAAAACTTGGGCATACAAAAAAAGGTTGAAGTTTGGGAGTTTTCTTTTGGTTGATATCTGATATCCTATTGTACAGTTGCGTAGGACAACTGTGATGGTTTCTTATATTCTTTTTGTTGGGGAGTTTTTGTTTATTAGCCCTACCCATTTCACATTCTTTGTTCTTTTACTTTTCTCCTGCTGCTAGCATGGCCTTTGCGAGGGGATGGCCGACAAGGATAACCTCGGCGGATGGAATGGACGACTGGGGATGGACGACGCATGCATGGCTGGATGGAGTGAGTGTATTTGATAGACTTTTTTGTGTGTTTCCATTTCTACAATACCATTGTTCAAACTGTGCTTTTACTAAAAATGTCGTAAAGTTTGCCCTTTTTTTTGCTTCTTTTGCTTACAAACCATGTATGTATACAAGATGTCGTGGGTATCATTCCATCATGCTTCATATACCGACTTAATACACACTCCCTTGAATGCTTCGATCCGCCTTTTCTGCAGCCTCGAGATCCTCCACACCTCCCTTGCGCTCCGCCTCCGCGTCCTCCTGCTGCTCGCATCCAGGCGTCGTCGGGCCCTTGCCCCCCTCCGCCGCCACCACTCTCGTCGGCACATCGCCCTCGTCATCACTCAACGCTACCGCGCCACCACCACAACCACCACCACCGCCGCCGCCACTCCCCAGCGGCGGCGCGTCGCCAAGCCTATTCGCAAACGGGTCGATGCCGGGGCTCGCGGCGCTGCCAAAGCTGCTGGCGCTGCGCTGTCTTGCGTGGTGGCTATTAATGGTGGACTGCAGCAGCCGCGCCTCGATTGAGTTGAGGATGCTGCCGCGACGACGGCGATGATGCAAGGCGGTGGCGGTGGTGGTGGCGGCATGTCGCGATTCCGTGTCAGAGGGGGGGCCGTCGTCGGGCTTGTCGCTGTCGGAATCGGCGACGGAGGCGTGGCCAGAGTAGCTGCCGCCAAAGTCGCGCCCGAGGTGCGGAGAGTGGAGTGAAGACGGCGGCGGCGGTGGCGGTGGCAAGGGCAGGGGTTTGATGGATGCGGATGCGGATGCGGATGCGGCGGTGGAGGCGGGTTTCTTGCGGTCCGGGCTGGCGGTGCTACTGCCGGATGGCGTGGCGCTGTTGTGGTGATGGTGGTGATGGTGGTGGTGGTGGTGGGAACAGCCGTCAGAGTCGGAGTCGGAGCTGACGGCCGGACGGGCGGCCCGGTGGCGGTGCGGCACGGCGGCTGATTTGTGCGAGGAGAGCGTGGCTTGCTCGCTGTCCTTTTGCCGCAGCGACTCGAGGTCTTGCCGCTTCAGGTACTTGCTCGTGTGGTTACATCCGTCTGGGCAGCCGCCCCATCGTCGCGTCACCACAAATGTCTTGTTGCGTTGCAGCTTGAACTCATCCCTCGTCGCGCCCACGCCTGCGCCTGCGCCCGCGCCGCCGCCATCCGCTGCTGCTGCCGCTGCCGCTGCCGCTGCTGCTGCCGCTGCTGGCGCCGCCGCCGCTGAGGATGACGACGACGCCGGAGCCACGACCGCACCCTTGTCCTTTTCCTTGCCTTTTTCTTTTTCCTTGAGCGCGGCCCGTTCGCGCTTGAGCTCCGACCACGTGCGGAGCTTGGTTTCCAGATTAAACTTCCCGTTATCCTGCTTACGCATGACCAAGAACTCGCAGTGGTCAATGTTGCGCAGATCCTCAAAGTACTCCACCGTGAAATGGTACCACTTCATCAGAAACACGCGCGACATGAGCCCATGCGTGACCAGCACGCACACGCTCGCAAAATCATCCTCGCCAAACTGCCGCCACAAGCTCTCGTTGAAGCCGCTCACGCGATCATATGCATCCGCCGCGCTCTCGCCGTTGGGGATCCTGTAGAAGAAGTGTCCATAGTCGGCGCGCTCCTGCCACATGCGCTCCATTTCGGCGCTGCATGGCTGGAAATTGCCAAAGTCTTGCTCGCGCAGCCGCGGCTCCTCGTAGACTTTGATGTTGGCGCGGCGAAAGGGCGAGGGTCCGTCGGCGTCGGAGGTTAGGGTGGTGAGGATGCCTTCGGTGGTGTCGCGCGTGCGGCGGTACGGGGACGTGAAGATTTGGAGCGTGTCGTCGGGGCGCAGGAGGGCGCGCAGGCGGCGGCCGGCGTCGTAGGCTTGGGACCAGCCGTCGGGGGTGAGCTTGACGCGGTGGTCGGGTACGGACTGGTGAATGTCTCTGTTTTCTTTTGGGGAGGAAAGGTCAGTACATGGAGGATGCAGATTCAGCTCGAGAGGGGGGGGAAACGGGAGGAGGGGGTCATTACTGTTGCCTTCGGATTGGGCGTGGCGGATGAGTATGATGAGTCTGGGCTTGGCCATGTTGGGCAGCTAAGCGACAGCCGATGGCGTTTCAAAGACGGCGGGAAAGGGACGGTAACAAAGACTGCGGTCAACAGCCGGTGCTTATACCGCTGAAGGGTCGTAGATGATGGAGGCGGGGAAGCAAGAGTTGGTGACGCGGCTGACAAGAAAAGGAAACCAACCGATTTGGGCAGACGGTGGCATGTTCATGGGAGAAGAACAAAAAAAAAAAAGAACAAAAAGCCAGATTTAGAAAGCTCCCGATTCGAAGAAAGTGTCGCATGTTCCGACTCCATGGTGGGGACCGCTACAGCCAACCAGCCCCCAAGGCTGCGGCAAGCCCCTTGACGCTAGTAATTGCCACGGCGCTTATGTCTAGGCATCCGGGAGGACAAGGAGTCGCCAATTGGGAGCTCTGCACAAAGGAAACCAGAGAAGGACAAGAAATGGCGATTGACTTACGCTGGAAGAAAGACTCCTGTTGGTTGCATTGGCAGCGTTGTACAGTAGTCTACTAACTATCGACAATTTCTAGGTACTTGTATCCGCACCGCCTCACATGGGGAAATACCACCTCTTGAAAATTATCATATAATTTACCGAGTACAATTCTACTAACTACCTTTTCGCAAAATCAATCGACTGGTAACTTGATAAGTCACGTCATGGTTCCACGACAGCTCCAAACAGATGCTTACATAATGACCCCAGCTTCTGCACACCCCATCCCAGGCACAAGCTGCAGCCAGTTTAGCCTGCCCTCCATCACCAGATAGCCTCGATTACTCGAACATCTCCTTTTCGCAGCTTCACAATCTCGACCACTTATCCAATATTCCCATCATTCCTTTCCATCCGTCAGAGCGAACAATCTCTACGCAATCCTTCCGTCAGAACAGCTATTTCGCCTGCGCATATTACTAGCCTCGCGCGCAAACGCAGCCTTGCGTCCTGCCTAGTCGCAAAACTCTTTCCCACAACAACCACACTATATCAACCCAAAACCAAAACCATCCAGCCCATCCATCGCACGCAAACACACACACACACACACACACGCACACACCACCATGTCTGCCGACGTCCCCGAATCCATCCCCACGTCTGCCGACCCTCGTTCGCGTCGTCCCACCAAACGCCGCGCCCTCACGCCCTCGTCCGCCCAAGCCGCCTCGGTCGACGCCCTCTTTTCCAAACCCGACCGCGACATTCGCCTTCCCTCCTCTTCGCAGCGCCCCACCCACGCCGGAAGTCGCCCGCCCGAGATAGTAACCAACGTGCAGGGATCGTCGGCCGGCGCGGGCTCGGGCGAGTTTCACGTGTACAAGGCGGCAAGGCGGCGCGAGTACGAGCGGCTGCGCGAGATGGATGCCGAGGTGAAGCGCGAGCAGGAGCAGGAGACGTTTGTGAGGGAAAAGGAGCGCAGGGAGAAGCAGGACGCGGAAAAGACGAGGAAGAATAGGGAGAGGAGGGAAAAGATGAAGCAGCGCAAGGCGAAAATGGGAAAAGGTAGTAGTAGTAGTGGTAGTGGTGGTGGTGGTGGTGGTGGTGGTGGTGAAGGGGGGAATGGCAAGATGGCGAATGGGCAGGGTATCAAGCCGGCGCAAGTTTCGACAGAGAATGGGAAAGAGGAGGAAAGTAATGGAGAAATGGCAAAGATCGCGACAGCAACGTCAGAAGCAGGCCTCGTCATTCACGACGATGATTAGAATAGAGCTCAAAGCGAGATAGATTGTATATATAGTGATACCCTACGCCCACATCAGTCACCATCTGCATGCATCACCTACTCAGTCGATATGTATTCGCCAAAATGACCCTGCCTTGTCTTGTACAATATATGGGTATCTACCCACGTTGTCTATCCCTATCAATGTCGTAATACTTTCATGTCTTTTCTAATTTTCTCCGTTGCTCTCTCAGAGCGTCGTTTCCCTTCATCTTTCTAATTACTCCTCGCCGCCGCCGCCGCCGCCAACACCAGGAGCGCCGCCTTGCAGCTTCTTGGCGCTGCAAATGTCATCAACTCTCAACAGCAAGCAAGCAGCCTAGTACATGTTAGCTTGTATTCATACTCCTGGGACATCCGGCAAATCTCACCTCGACAGCAGTCTTGATGCTCTGCAACTTGATGGCCTGGGGCTCCCACACGCCATACTCCTTCATGTCTACTATCGTGCCGCTATCGCCGTTGACACCCCACGAGCTCTTGCCCTCGGCCTGCTTGGCGCGGAGGTCCGTCAATACACGGACAGGGCTCTTGCCAGCGTTTTGGACAAGAGTTCTGGGAATGACTTCGAGAGCATCGGCAACGGCCTTGTACGGCCACTGCTGAACGCCCTCAATCGACTTGGCGCGCTGGTTCAGGCGCACCGACACGGCCATTTCGGTAGCACCACCACCAGGAGACAGGCGGGGGTGGAACAAGACGTTACGGGCAACGCCCATGGCGTCCTGCAGATTGCGCTCAATCTCATTGAGCACGTCTTTGGAGGGACCACGGAGCAGGACAGTGCAGGCTTTGGGGTCCTTGCACTTGGTCAGGAAGGTAAAGTACTCGTCGCCAATCTTTTCAATCTCGAAAAGACCGCACTTGGTGCCGACGTCAGAGTCGACAAGGTCCTCAACGCGGTTGACAATAGTGGCGCCGGTAGCACGGGCTATTCTGTTGTTGTCGGTTTTGCGGACTCTGCGCAGAGCTGTGATATTGGCCTTCATAAAGTAGTGCTGTGCGAGGTCTAATTGTCTTGTTAGCGGGGATGGTAGCTAGACCGCAGTATACGTACCAGATACACCCTTCTCAGTAATGACCAGGTCGGGCTTGACAGCGATAATAGCTTCGCAGATGTTCTTAATCTGCTCCTCCTCAATCTGCAGAATGCGATTCCAATCATCCTCCTTGGTGATTTCAATGTTCGTCTGGGACTCGCCCTTCTTGTACTCTAGAGGGCAGTCAAGGAGGACGATGCGGGGGTTCTCGATGCGCCGGCGCATCTTGGGGTGTGTGATATCCTTGTTGAGCATCAGACCGTCGAGGACCTCGCTGTCCTCAATCTCGCCGCCGGGCACCTTTTCGACACGGGCGTAGCGCTTGACGTCGACTTCGGTATTTCCGTTGCCGGCCTCCCAGGTGACGGTGCGGACAGCCTTGAGAGCAAGGCTGCACATCTGGTCCATCCAGCGGCTGACAAACTTGGTGCCGATGGACGAGGAAATGAGCTTGGACATGGCCTCGTCGTCGTTGACGTCGATCGGGGTGGAGACTTCTTCGATGATTTCGAGAGCATCTTGGAGGGCGCGCTTGAAGGCAGAGATGATGACTACGGGGTGGATGTTGCGCTCGAGCTGGGGGAGGGCCTGTGCAAGAATTTCACCAGCTAGTTGCTGTCAGTACGGAGCTCGTGAGCTCATCCATTGGACTCGAGTGCGTACCAAGAATGATGACGGTCGTGGTACCGTCGCCGACTTCCTCGTCCTGTGTGCGGCTGAGCTCGATCATGCTCTTGGCGGCCGGGTGAGAAACCTCAATCTCGCGGAGGATGGCGTGGCCATCGTTGGTGAGGACGATGCCGCCCATGGGGTCGAGCAGCATCTTGAGCATGGCCTTGGGACCGAGACATGATCGAATAATGTCGGCAACTCTGTGGGCGATTCTGTTAGCGATACCGACTGATTTTGCAAAGCAAGGCAGAGTGGCGGTGCATCAAGGTCGTCGACACGTACGTCTTGGCGGCTGCAATATTGGAGAGCTGAGCTCTTCTTCCAGTCTGCCTGTCACCACCGGCATTGGTGTCTGCAGGGACAATTCGTTAGCATCAATAGTATTCTTGTTTGGGCACGCCGTCGCTCCGGGAATGCAAAAGGCGGCGCAGGCAGCAAACTGAATTCGGCGGAGGCGGGGGGAATGCAAAAAGGATAATTTTCGGTGGGACATACTCATAACCACAACAGGAGCTTGCATGTTGGGCGAATGCGTACTTCTTTTGCGGGAAAGAAGTTTAGAGGATACAAGGGCACTTCGGGGACCAACACACGCGACAAAAGAAGAGGAGGAAGAGGATGCAAAAGACAGGGAGAGCTGGTTGATGGGTCGTGGAGGGGTGGTTTTGCAGGAGGCGGTTTGAAAGTTGGGTGGGCCCTATCACCAAGTCTCAGGCGGTGCGAGCAAGGTGCTGATGTGAGGTACCTAGCTTTAGCTCTTTTGGTGCGCTTTTGGTGGGCGTGCCAGACGTTAGGTACATTGGTCGCCTGCTCGTCCGCCAGATCCAGCAGCTTCCATCTGCTCAGGGCTGTTGGGGCGCTGTCAGCGTTGTGCGCCCGCGCGATTGGCTGTTTGCGCCTCTGCCCCGCACAGAAACTGGGGTCCCCTCATAAAGTCTGTGTAGCAAGTACCTTTGCACTCAATTAAGCCATGGAAATACCTACTGCCTGGACAGCAACACCATCGCTGACGATGAAAAGGACTCGTGAGGCCCTTGCCAATCGTCCTTGTACCGGCACTCAATCACTCAGTACATGTTCCGTAAGCCGTTCAATATCTCTCTGAACTGCCCGTATCCTTCCCTACCTAGCCTATCATTTGCCATCCTCTCCTCAAACGCCATCGCATCGCGGATTACCTCAGCGCCCAGCCCGCCACCAGGATTCAGCTTGCCCACACAGGCAAGCATATCTGACACCCGCCTTGACTGCTCAGTATCAGTTTGCTACGCTATCAGCTCACTTGACTCCGCCGGATGCTACTTTCCCCCATGTCAGACCCGCTGCCACATGGTCGGTCTCGACGGGCTATCTCGTCTCGAATGGTGCGAACCGAGGCGCAGCTAATCCAAAGCTGCACATATGTCCAGCATGGCCACCCACCCATGCTGATATCGTGGCCAACATCTTGCAAAGCTCCAGCAAGGACTGGCGCTTCTCGGGCATATCATGGGCTGTCGATGCATGCTACTCGCAGGGCATACACACACGGCGATGCCCGAAATAGTGCATATGGTTCAATGTACAGAGTTATATGCGCAGAATTGTCAATGATAGTCCCGGCAACTTGTATCAAACTCGGGTGCAAATTCTCCTAGTAGCTAAAATGAGTGCGATATGCCGTAAAAGCAACTCTCTTGGTCCAGTATCAATCTCCCCGTGCATGGTGCTCCAATCGAACAGCAGTGCCGCGTAATGTGAGGACCAGCATCAGACTTCCACGTGTCTGATCATTTTCGTCGCCTCTACAGACGCGAAGCCCTGTCCTCTACTTCGGTCGCTACTGATCGGACGAATCATCATCCGTATCCTCCAGCATGGAATCATCATCCGTGTCCGAATCATCCGTGTCCTCCAGCATTGATTTATCAGCCGTGTACTTCAGCATTGAATCATCATCCCTGTCCGAATCATCCCTGTCCTCCAGCATTGAATTATCAATCGTGTCCTTCAGCATTGAATCATCATCCGTATCCTCCTGCTTCAACTTTGCATCCAGGTCTTCCTGCGTTAAATTATCATCCGTGTCCTCGTGCTTCAACTTGTCATTCAGGTCCTCCTCCGTTGAATCATTATCCATGACACCCTGCGTTGAATGATCATCCGTGTCCTCCTTCTTGGGCCAAGGCCACCATCCCTTCAAAGGGGTCTCGTCGAGAATAGCGTTGAAGCATCGGTCGCTGTCGGCGCTATTGAAGTGATACACGGTCTGTCCATGGGGGTTCTTCGCGGTCACGTATCGAACATTCGTAAGGGAGAGCTGGCTTGGCCTGAACTGATGCAGTGTGCTTATCGCATGGGCACGCACCATCAGGGTGCCATGCCATTGCGCTGGCTCAGTATCCCTTAGCTCGTAAAAGCGACCATAGCTATTTACGGGATCGAGCCATTCGCTGCCGAGGTGTGACGCAGCTTTTCTGTCGTCAAAGAAGTTCTTTGTCGGATCGATGTTGGCCTCTGTCCAAAAAAGGCCGCTCTTCAAAAGAACAGCCACGTCCTTGACCTTGAGAGTGAGCTCAGCATACCAGGGGACTCTTGGCAGCAAGTTAAATCTGCGTTTCTCGAACAAGGGCAGTTCTTTCATTCGATAATAGCTGATGTCGTCCAGAAAGCCAAAGATGACTCTTCCGCCGCCCTCGAAGTGGCCTGTTTTTGGGTCGGTGCCTGGTGGCGGCATTGTGCTGCCTTCTCTGCCGATGGGTTAGTTTATTAGTCCTCGTTAGATACGGCTCGTTGGAGAAGGAACAGTGTTGACTGTACACTAACAACGTCAAAATAATGTGCGGGCACTTTGCTTTGCGTGTTGACACCCCGTGTATATTAAAAAGACAGGATGCCGCAGAGCAAACTTGACCTGGTGAGCGCAGCCTGTGAATTTTTCAAGAGGAAGGGTCTCTCTGCTCGATTCAGTTTGATGGCTCTGTGGTCCTATACATAAAGTTCTCGAAGAACAGGCAGCAATTCCCGTAAAGATTTTCGTTATTGCAGCCGCGTGTCGAGCGTGTTCATTCACAGCCGTGCAAACGGAGATCTCTGCCGCAAGCACTTGCATATATTTAGGACCCCCATCTTTTGGTTGTAGCTATATCTATGAAGTAGCTTAAAATCAGCTGTGTCCCTTTTAGCCATTCGGCGGCTTGAGAAGGACTAACCTGGCTTTGACGTGGCATGGCTAACGACACTGTGTAAGGGACAATCATTTGATGGAGCGAGCCGCGCAGCATAACTACAAAAGCATCATGGTATTTCGAAGCTTTGATTCGATCATGAACATCTCAGGGAAACCCTCACATCGATCTTGGCCTAGTTGCCTTCCAGAGACGTCATCCTTGACTCTGCTAGTAAACATATACATTTCCGTCAATCCATCAATAGCCAGATCCAGTTGCAGTCCAAACATTCTCAAGATACTATACAGCACCTAGCTCATGTTTCATCCCATCATGTCTGTCACGCCTCTGCCTCACTGCTCGCGCGACAACGACGACGACGTCGACCCCTTCGCCTTTGCGCGCTGGCGACGCATCCTCTGTGCCGAGACGCCCGCCCCCGGGGCTTTTTCAAGCGGTATCTGGCCGCACATTGACAGCTGAAGTGCGCTTTGCAGCCTCTAGCTGTACTTTCTCCTGTGCAAATGTGTCTCGTGTGTGAGCATTCCCCTGATCCGCAACAGCCACGTTCACAAGTTTTATACGCACACGTTTCGCAGCTGCTTCTCAAAGAGACTGGCTTCTTCCGTCTCGTCATCTTGGAGCGCCACGGCACCGTGACGCAGCGTGTTGAACAGCTTCTCAGTGGATGCGCGCGCGCGTTGCTGCTGCTGCTGCTGATGCGGTTTGGTCGTCGAGGCGGCAGGCTTGGTCGGAAAGACGCGGTCAAAAGACGCAGGGCTCTGCTGAAGGCGGCGCATGTCTATGCAAATACCCTGTTGTAGCTTCTCGCGCACAGACATGGCGTTCAGCGGCTTTGAGAGGGTACATCGGGTTCCGGAGCTCGGGGCCGGGATGTCCTTGGAGAGGTTGAGCTGTGCCGGGCGCCGCTTGACTCGGCGAAGAAGAGGGTTGGGCAGAAAGCTCGGTTGTTTGACTATCAGCGGCTCTGAATGCTTGTGGTGGTGGTTGATAGCGGGCTTGTCTTCCGCTTCGTTGAGAATTCGGACTTTGCCGTGGTGATTCGCCAGATGCTCAATCAGCTTGTCGGCCATGATGCTGCGTTTGGCTGGCCCAGGCTAGGGCAGATGAGGGTAGTGTGTAAGAAGATGGCAATAAAAGATCCTGGAAGGATAGAAGAGGAGAATCAGTGCTTCATTTCTGACTGACAAGGATGGAAGTGAGCGTCAAACATGGAGATGCCGAAAACGTCTAGCAGTTGGCAGTGGGCGCCTGGCACCTGGCACCTGGCACCTGGCACCTGGCACCTGGCAGTCAAACAGACCCCGACTGACTCGCAATCTCTCACAAATACTTGAATTACTTGGTATAATTTGGTGGAGTGAATAGGCTCCATTTGCAAGAGTCTGTCAATCCAGATATTCGCAATAAGAGCATTGCCTGACACGGCTGTACATTGAGCGGCAGCATCACGAGGCTTGGGCGACTTTGAACGCTCTCGAAACACTAGCGCAGATGTAGAATGCAATTGTCATATTGAAGTATTGAATGGCCAATATACAAATGTTCTCGGTGATCTTGCTCACAATTCGGGCAGTTCCATAAAACGGAAAACTAAACCGTCGCTTCTGGGCCTTCTACGGATTACACTACGCCACCACAAACCGCTTGAAAGCAGTCTTGTACTCATACAACATTCTCGAAACTGCCGGGGACCCTTTTCAAACATGAATTGCCGCTACTAGAATAAATAAGCATAGAGGAGCATACGCTTCCTTGGGCTTGAAGATGAACGGAAAACCCAGCACTTCTCTACATCATGGCTACCCTGCACCACTTTTGCCAAATCCGGGCCAACAACTCGCGGAAAAAACGTTCGTCGCCCTCGCTTCCCGTGGAGCCTCATACAACGTTGCAAGAGACCATTCCTCCGACTGCCAAGTTCCAAACATGTCATGAAGGGGCTTCTTGCTATTGCGTAGTCGGCGTGCTGCGACACCCATCGTGCGCCGTACAACGGCCCAAAGGACCAAGTCTCACCCAAGCGATCCAATGAAGCCCCGGTGCCGAGGAACCAGCTGCAGGGACTTGTATTCATGCTCGTCCTTGTGGCGAGGTATTACTGGTGCAAGCGATTTGCCCCGTATCTGCTCGTTCTGCGTGAGGCGGCATCGGACATGCGAGAGTACATTGACATGTCTCGTTCCCCAACTTCCATCTGTATTGGGCCGTCGGTCACGGAGCATCTTCTTCGTCGTGGTTGGCATTTATTAATTCCGGATGCATGACGGGCGAAAGAAACAACAAAGCAACCTGTTTGTTATCGGGCGTCGATGCCTCCTCCTCCTACAACAAGCTGCAGCAACGCATCGTGACGTGGAGGGTTTCCTGCCAATGAGACGGATGGTTGGCGCGCAAAGCTAGAGACAAACAAAAGTGTTTTCGTCCAATAGTCTGCCGCAGAAATATCAATATTTGCCAAAAGTCAGGCCAGGAAGGATCCGAAGCCACCGTGAGGATTTTTTTCTTCCCTACCTTGCGTTGTGGTGAGGTCGAGAGGTTCTTGGCACCCGAGACATGCGGGTTCGGGGGGTAGATGCCCGTTTCTGGTGAGCCAAGACAATGCTACGCTACGGCATGGGCGTCTTTTCAATTGTCTGCGGCAGCAAAAAAGATGTTAATTAAATACAAAGCGAGACAGGGAGATGCAGTTTTTTTTATTGCTTGCTCTGTTCATTACGGGCAGGTACAAGCTCTTCCAATTGGTATCAGCAGCAGATGCATGCACAGACGCCATTCAGCCACGTCGAAAAAAATAGATTGCGCTTCGAGAGGGGTTCCGGCCTGTATTTAGAGCCAGTCCTTGGGACCAGGGCTGTATTGATGAATATATATTGAGAGCAATTGGCTTGGCTGCCGCAGAGAACATGTAATATGCTGCCGTGCTTGGCACACACAATTGTCACGATGCATTTCTCTTTATGTAGACTGCACAATTTGGGAGTGTTGATGAGCTTTACAGCTGCACGCCCACGGCCGAGAAGCGGGGGAAGAAAAATTGTACAAGAATGAAATTCGGATAATTCTTTAATGGGATATAGAATTCCAAGCAAACGACCCATACGGTAAAAGCCATGCAAAGCGGAACTGACAAATAGTTAAAAAGGCAGTAATTTAGCCCACTACCAAGGATTCTCGTGACGCACACTGGGGCCTGGCCTGTTTCGATGCTCCGTACTTGTCCGGTACATGAGGCCAGTTTCTGACGACACCGCCTGAGGAAAATTCCGGTGTTTGTCGGGACGTTGTCTTTTTAACGTCTTCTTTTATTTTTGTTTTTAAAAATCTTCCCCTCCCCGTGACAATCGACGGGTGGCCCTGCGGGCTCCGTTCCGCAGGAGCAAACAAGAAGCTCGGTGTAGAGACAACGCTCCGGATGGTTCCGCGATTGGCTCGGCATAGTTTCGCCGTAGGGATATTTATCCATCGTGAATGGAGCCCGACGATGGTGACGAGGCGATGGGAGACGCAGCTTGTGCAAGGTGCAAGGTGCATTGCGAAGAATGTTTGTGGGAGCTGGGACATTTTCATGGCTCTGGTGGGCCTGGTGGACGTGGGTTGTTGTTTCTGGTCACACGACGGCTTCAATGCAAAGTTGCAAGGGTTGGTTTTGCATGATGACTGTCGATTCATTTTGGTCTTGCATAATTTCGTTTGCAGTCACCGAGAATTGGAATTTTTCATTGTTTTCTTTCTTTTGCAAATAAACGAATGTCATATTTACAATGGCTTGCGGGCTTGAGCTTGACAGGGTAATTTCGGTTACACAATGGCGGATTTTTCACGATGGAGCTCTGGAACAAAACGGGGACACGACGAGACAAGGCGGAACTCTGCAGCTGGGACTCTGCAGCTGAAATTCTGATACACTGCCTTTTCTCAATATCCGTAGTTAATGCATCCGCTTCCTGAGACGCACGTTTGTCACGGGATCGGCGGCCCGTCGTCGGCTTCGGCCGAGCGAGCGGGCGCCAGCATAAGATACTAGGCAGCTACGGGTATTCGTACCTTTTGATCAATACTCATCAAGACTGGCTTTCTTTTTCTTCCTTTATTTGTTCTTGGCTTGCCAATGTCTTGATGACGCCATACTCGTTACGCTGTGATGTCCCGATAAATGGATTTTTTTTTAAAATCATAAAGCACAGGCCAGCTTACGTATACTGTCATGATACACAGCCTGGGATCAGACGAGACAAGTGACAAGAGCCGGGATCCGTGGAAAGGCAAAGAAGAAATGTGCTTGTGTAGATTTCATATACGCCCCCCCAACCCTGGCAGGAACATGAAGATACGTTGAGAAAAAAAAACTTTTCTTCATCCCTAGCATGTCACCATTAGAAAAAAAAGTGCTTGACTGCTGATTATCCACCATGCTTGCCCCGTGGAAAGAATACTTGCTCTAATCCTTGTACATGACATAACTGACTTCATCCCTTTCAGAAAATTTCTTTTTTTGACCCCGGCTGATATGTCTAGCGCCTTTGCTCGATCGATCTCACTCGGGCCAAAAAAAATCCTTCATCTTCTTGCCGTCTACAGGGGGGCAAGGGATACCGCTATTTCTGCACCCATTTTCTTCCCTTGCGCTGCTGATAATATCCGTAATATCCTGATATTATTTAGACATGAAAAAAAAAAAAGAATTTGAACCCGCGTACCAGGGTCCCTGTCTCCCTTGATGGTTAAACACGACGTGAAAAACTCTGCTACCCGTTGCAATGTGACTCAAAAGACAATAATAATATTTAATAATAATATTTGCCAGGGAGCGATTATGCCATGAATTATGCTAGCAAATCCTCTCAAGTCTTTGAAAACCCCATAATTCACAAGGTCAAGATATATGCCCAGTAATCCAGGCAGAAGCATAATATGTTTAGTTTCAGCAGCAAGCCACATATACCCATCGGGGCAGGGAATGACCCGCGCCCATCTACGACCCGGAATCGCGCCAGCAAAGAGAGTCTGGACGAAGAGTTGCGCGTAGCTCGTTAATGCCGCAGCTGCTTTCGCGGCGCCAGCGTTTCATCTACGCTAAAAAACAACACTACACAGAGAAGCTATTGGCTCGCAGGTTGTGTTGTTCCAGAAGGTCTAGATCGGAGAGGCTGACGCGGCAGATCGTGCGTGCATGGGTGTGTTTTCAAGGGACCAATTTCGCGGCACATGGCACGCTCTTTCGTGGGCGCTTGGCTAATGATTCTCATGTCGATAAATTCTCAAAAAATAAAGCAAGAAAGCGATTGGTTCGTGTTTTGGTCGAATGCGTGGATTGCTAATGAGTTGCTCTTTTCAATGACGTCGTGTTGTTACTGTCGTTTGCAGCAAGGCCGTCGCCACAGAAATACACGATGGAGGTCAATCCATCTCAATAAATAGCATTGTATATTCAACTTGTTAACTCGCAGACGATTGGGTAAGTATTTTTCAGCTCCTATATCACCTTTACGAGTCATTTTATAGTTTTTATTTGAAAGAATAAAGAGTAGCAGGTGAAGAATACAAACGCCGTCTGACGCACGCATCAACCAATGGCAGCCATGAAACCGCACCGCTTTGCTGGCTGCAAGGGAGAAGAAATGAGACGATGACCATGCGGACCTCCCCCCCAAAGCAATTTCTGCACATATAACGAAATAAAGAAGGCCAAAAAACAAAGACGATACTACGTCGTGATGGGCCAGATTCCCGATATCTGAGCGGATCTAGAACCCTCTACGTGGACGTTGGGCTGCGATGCATACTCGCCCCCGACCTTTTTGCTACAGTCTCGGCTTCTTACTCTGCGCTCATGCTCAATGACGCGATTCAGGTGTCATTTGCTGACTGGGACGTACCGATTCTTTGCTTTTACTTTTGCAGGCTGGAGCTGCATCGATGGCGAGCGGCATTGACCAAAATATTACATGATGCCCTTGATGCATTGAGGCCAGGGACAAGGTCATAATGTTTTCTCGCCAATGAGCAACTCCCCTTTTGGGCGGGTTTATTATTCGAGCCTTGATTTTTTCGAGGCCCATTTCAGGCACCATAGTGATCGCCTCATCAGCCCTCCAGCAGGACCTCTTCTTCCACTAGCTTTCCCTGCGAAATTTTCGAACCAGCACATTTCTACCAGTAGTCATCCGTCCTTCCATACCATTTCCATGTCAATAGAAAGCAGAAGAACAAAAGCCACAAAAGCTAAAATGAAATAAAAATCTAACGGTCACCTTACCCCCCATCAAGGCTTTAACCTTGGATGGCAAGGCGGGCCAGCAGTTTTAGGTTTAGGCGCAACGGGCCAAATCGACATCCCGCAAAAAAAAGTTTTCCTCGCTAGGTAATTTGGGGGTCAGCATCTTTCTGGCAATCTATATACGGGATTAGTTTAGTTGTTCATTTTACTTTCTCGTTAGCTTGTCGCTCGCAAAGGGCTAGTTAAGGTATACACCGGACAAGACCGGACTCTGTGGCTTTTTTTGCCTCAGTCGAGGCTTTGACAAAGCAAGGCCGACCAACGCATTGGCCGCCGTTGTCTAGCCTAATGCATCATAGAGGAATGTGATTTTTCGGACGAGAGAAGAGATTTTTATTGATTTAGCTTTTCCTACTGTAATTTTAATCTCACCCTTTTTTGACCCTTTATTTTTCATTTTTTTTTTGCCACTGCCATTTAGACACGTAAGAAGCGACCAATCAGCTCGAGCCCTCAAATCCGAATGTTTCGGCCGACTGGACAGATGCGGATATTCATGGCTTTGCATATTTCTGTCTCTGATTTTTTTTCTCATATTTTTCTCCTCGTCCCTGGGCTCATCTAATTATCCCTGTGGCATTTCCCTTCGTCCTTTTGGTGCTTGCAAACGCATTGTTTACGTTTCAATGGCAGGGTCAGCAATGTGGTAATGAGCTGCGTCGTTTTCCCTCATTTGTCCATCTGATGGTGCAACATGCGAATCGAATTTCGCAAATGAAAATGAAATATAAAAATTTTTCAAAGGCTCTCCACCACGGGCCGTACATGTCTACGGAGTAGCCAATTGCCAATTCAAAAAGAAATCTTTGGGATATGGGCTGGAATGCGACGCTAGCTAGGCTCAAGGTTTGCTGCCCAAGCACAACTCACCACGTAAGAGTTAAAAAAATTTAATTTACCTTTTTTTTTCTTTTCTTCGATTCTCTTCTTCACCGTTGCATGGGAAAAGGGGGACGTTGGATGGGATCTGGATCCCTGAACTAAACCCATGCAGCACAGCGCCGTGAATCTTGCAGTGCTACACGCAACCCATGCGGTACATCCTACGTTAACTTATTCAGCCTTCCGGAAGAGGAAATTCAAATCGGCGCCACCACATTTGTGCAACCTCAGTAAATATTTCTCTCTATCCATGCAAGAGAAGGATTCCATCAACTAGTGTCATCTTGTATTCATTTTCATGTACCCCTAACATTCTTTGCCCTATCTCCTTGTTTGAGAAAACTTTTCAAGTGAACCCTCTTTTTGCACGTCCCTGCTCCCGCAATCTCGTTGGCACATCGAGATGCAGTCTAGGCCCGCCCTGTCACAGTCATCATTCCACCTCCCTTGCCTTGAGGTGTAAGCACAAACGTGTAATGCACAAAGTGTCTCATATTCAAGGACGAAGAAGAAAAAAGGAAAAAAGTGGTCAAGAAAAAGTCTTCTTCAACACAAGCAAACTTTTCTTGCTTGCTTGTGCGTGCGTGTTGCATTCATTCTTTGCTAATCTCATAAAGAAGCCCTCCCACGCCGGGGACGTCGCTTCGCCCAATCTCATAATGATAAAAACCCTCCTTGCGCTGATAAACATGTGTTCTGCCGACTCCTCCTGTATGTTTGATGCACAAAGATCAACCCCCAGAGGCAGCCCCCCCCCCCCCCCAAAA